GTGGCTAAGTGACCCTTTGATATATACATATATATATATATGTGTGTTTGATAAAACCATTTCCCCACCAACCTCTGAAGCGCAAGCAAAAAGGAAACACACTTACAGGCCCTCTCAGAGTCACCAGTAGCCACCTCAAACAAAACGTAGAGCGCATATATGCCGCTAACATCACAAAAAAGGCGTTGTGTGGTTCCAGAAGCACTGGCATTGTTCTGCTTGCTTCTAGCTTGTGCCGGTGACGGGTCTTTTGCATTCCTGCTTGTCTTTTGGCTTATGTCCTGACTTTGTAACCTCTGCTGGCTTGCAGTGCATAGTTCTTGGTCTTGCTTGGGCTTGCCGCCATGCTGCTTCAAATACCCCAAACAATCAAATCAAACGTTGCAAGAGCAACAAACTCAATAACAGTGAACCAAAGCAACTCCCAGCAAAGGCATCGCCTCATCATACGAATTGCCCATGTGTGTGCTCTAAACCAATATGTCACCTGTCATGGGAAGGAGTCTTGTGAACATTTCTCACAAACGCACCTCACACGGCCAACAGAAGGGAAGATGACACACTCACGCGTCACCTTTCAGCACCAGCGTGTACGTATGAGTTGTGCTAAAGCATGTAAATCAATAAAACTATCGGATTGCTTTGGTGAAACAAACATAAGGCACAACAAAACCTAACAGTTCAGGATTGATTATCATTGAATTGTCAGAGTGGCACCTGGTGACTGAGAGTCCTATTTACATATTCCCCCAACACACTACACACATTAAATTGTTCTTAACAAGTATGTGTTTGTCACATCCACATACACATTGCTGATTTCAAAGAAAAACATGCCTCTTAAAAGACATAAAGGCCATGAATTCCAGTGGCTGGCCCTCTGGAGGATCAAACTTGATGCATTGCTTGTATTTGGGTGTCAGCAGAAAGATTGATTCACCAAGCCAAAGACGCAGTATTTGTCTAACACATTATATAGCAATATAGCACAAACCGAACATCAGTGCAAGCATACCGCCATACCGCACAAATAGCAAGACCTGCCAGGGTCAAAATATACAAAGACAGAAACTGTCAGAACATTGTAAAGCAAACCAAAGAAGTCACAACTTCCAACAACATGACACACTTGTAAGTTGGCAGTACCCTCAACACGGCGACAACCATCCATCACCAAACTGTGCACAAACATGCAATATACTCGAGTCTTATGGTGCGCCAAATGGGGACAATTGTGAGCAATTGCAACAAACTGCAAAAGAGTGAATGCTACTGAAACGCCGGTCCCTGCTTGCAAAAAAGAACTATGAATGACGCGCCAAACCGGATAGTGCATGTCAAGTTTCGCACGCGAATATATGATGCATGAAACATGCTTCAACAACCCCTTCCAAAAATGCGTAGAAAATCCAATAGCACGTTTTAGTTTCCATGCAGTGTGCATGAACAGAAAAACACAGCTTCCACGAGGCCTTTGGGCCAAAAATTTGAGTGACAAGAGAAAAGCTGCCAAAAGCGAGCCATTCAAGACCGGGATAAATCTAGTGAAATCTGTTTGTTTGTCGTTTGAACAAAGTCCGCGTGTCAGAGCGTGCCATTTGCGTGCCACCTTCAAATTAGGGAGTTCAATATCGAGAGGCTCATTCATATATCAAAAGGCCACTTAGACATATCAAAGGGTCACTTGCCCTTATCAAAGGGTCACTTAGACACATCAAAGGGTCACTTGGCATATCGAAGCATTTGCGTGCCATTGCGTGCCAGCTGGGTCTTTTGCGTGCCATTGCGTGCCAGATGGACAATCGTTTCTCATTAGTGATATTTTTTTTGTTCGAAATGTGTTTACAGTATTTTTATGGCTCAGACGCTTGCTCGGCACCACTTTGATAGAGGATTACAATCGCTCGCCCGCAAAGGGTAACACCCCAACATAAGTCCAAAGTTCAAGCCTACAAAAACAACAAGCAAGACTTCAACAAAACTTGGAAATTGCAAGACTGAAACTTGGCTCTTCTGGGAAGAGACCCATGATGTTACTCAAAACCAAACAGATTATACTTGTTTTGCAACTTCTCACCTATCCATGCTGCAGCAAAGTAATGAGCAAAGTTCTGTTTTGTCCCTGTGCCTTGTCCGGCAGCAGGTTGCCATATTGCAGTTGCACCAAAAGTAGCCTTTGCTTCCATGTGCTTTTCCTCGTTCAGCGAATCTTACTTGATTAATTTATCGAGCTTCCTAGCAGTGGGTGCAACATGCTGTATCACTTGTTGCCGATTTAAGCGTGAACTTGTTTGAAGGGATTGTTTGGGCTTTGCAGATGGTCAACTTCGAATTCCTTGTTCAGAAGTGTTTGTGGTGCATATGGTGGAGAAACATGCTTGGATGAACACCTGTGTCATAGATTTTGATAGCACGATTGTAGGGCTATTGATTGACACATGTGAATTGTAGCAGCAAAATTGTTGCAATCATTGTACCGAACGAAGCAAGGAACTAGAAGGTTTTGCAGAAAGCGTGCAAGTTTTTCTAAGCTTCTTTGAAGGGCATGGGTGAAGTGCCAAACCCAAGTGCAGTACAATTTATTGAAGCTGTTGGAGTTAATTACAGTAAATCCACTGAGGACGATACCATGCATTCAATGTGCCACGTCTACAAAGGGTGCAACAACACATATTGCCTCAAGCCTCTGATTGAAATACATACTCCATCCTCCAACATGCTTCCGTGCAAACACATCAAAAAACTACGTTGTGAAGAATGGGCCCACACAAGTGCAATTGCTTAAGAATGCATGGCCCTGTCCACTCCGCCATCCCTCTTCAAGAATTTGCCGATATGCTTCCCCCAAAAAGTAATTCAATGAGTGCGTGTGTGTGCGTGTGTGTAAGGACAAGGGTTTCAATTGTTGCAACCACACAAAGCCTAGAGTTGGAACGTAGATTCTTGCAGTTTGTGCCTAGTGTTGTGCGATGTTGTGTGCCCATTGAAGAAAATCTGCCTCCTTCGTTCCGTATGTATTCACAACTGCATTCAAGTCAAGAGGCAGGTATTCATTCAGTGATGCAGATTGTTTGCCAGAAGTGCATGTTGCGTGGTCCATGTCGACAACATGAGTGATGCCATGTAAGTTTATATATAGATGCCTTTACACATCGATATTTGTATCAATATTTGCGTAAATGCATTTCTACCCGCAAGTGTCCATATGTATCCATTCGCACTTACGGAACACGCTATGTCTTAGGCTGAAGTACTCATTTGCAGACCCAAGCACTTCAAAGTGACTTATAAGTTATAAGATCATATCTCGAAGTTAAGTGACCCATTGATATACACCCCTCCCTTTGATATAGGCATAAGTGACCCTTTGATATATAATGCCCCCAAGAAGCTATATCGAGGGTCCATAACTCAAAGGGTCACTTTGAAGTGCCTGGTAGTTGGGGTTACATGTTTTTCCAACCCAGGGTTAAAAAAGCGTCTTGGAGGGTGGAAAAAACGTTGGGGTTGAAAAAATATGTTGGAGGGTTGGATAAATATCCAGCCCGCCTTGTTCTGCCGGTTCACCGCTGCACCGCACCGCAGCAGCAAAGCGACCACGTCCTGTCGTCTGCTCATAGAGACGAGACAAGGTCTGTGGTGCATCCCTCCCAAGACCGAGGGTTGACGCCTCCATGTCATAGGGATATTCACAGGATCCATCAATTCCATCAATCAGCTTCTGGAGTACCATTGGAAGACTCCATTCCTATTTGCTGGTCCGGCACGATGCATGTCAATGCGTGTCACACCCAATTGACGAAGGTTCCCGCCGGCCAGACCGACTGACGGGGCGGCGCATGCGGCGCTCGCACCTGGAAGCCGGCTGCAGCTGCCAGCATCAAGGGAGTGGCATGGTTCAGGTTCCCAGCATCCACCTCGCGGTGTATCGCCAACAAGTGTTGAAAATGTAGGGTTCCAACCAAGCCGAGGCTCTGGCGGTTATGGCTCAAAAGAATGGGAGCTCAGACATCCCGCAAGGTTCTTTTGTCCTGTCACTGGTCGGTTGGATGGTACCCCTTTTTTTTGAGCCACACCCGAGTGGCTTTAGCTAAAGAAACATGGTGCAAGTGTGGATAGGTTGAGCAGTTCTTAGAAGGCTTGCGAGCCAGGCACCTCTGCTGCAAACTCTAGCAATAGCTTGGCAGCAGCCAGGTGGCCTGTGAACGGCACAGGCGGCATAGGAATTTTGCTACAGGCCGGCAAGACATTTGAGGAGAAAAAAGGTGTTTGCAAATCGCAATTGCCTTGGCAGCTATGGCGTTGTTGGTTCTCTGTCACACAAATATATATTTCTCTCGCAAGCCAAAAAAAGAATGTTTAACTTAGAAACATCAGCCAGAATCCCTGGGCACCAGATTTTCTGCACTTCTTTGCCCTCTGACAAGAAAACACAACGTCTACTCGACACTCGTTTGTCTGGCAAAACCCACGATCGCCACCTCCGTCGGCCGCCAAATGCAAAGCCGTCGCGTGCTTCATGTTCCGCGTGGCCAAAAGGGATTCCGTGATGCCGCCTGGAAGGCTCCAGCCAAAAGGCAATTTGTTTCTTGGGTTGAGAGCTCCTGTTGCACCTGCGAGTGCACATGTGACCCTCAAAAATTCTAGAGCGGAGGTGTCAAAAGTTCTGCGATCCAATCCTGTACGAGTTGTTCAATTCTACCACTTAGTTTCTTGCTGGAAAACAACTACCAAGCTTTAACCTAGGCCGACCGACCTAGGCTTTGTGTGCAAACCATGCTCTTAGCTGTACCAAAACTATGGGTGCAACAACAAAGCCAAGGGCTCAAAAAACCCAACCCAAACCCTGGCCATGTCCTGCTAAGTGGGTAATCCTCACCCTGCCCGGTGGAAGTGTCCTCATGTCAACCGGGCCTTGGAGCAGTGCTTTGAGTACATCGACATGACCAGCTTCAGCGGCCACCAAGACCGGCGTGGCACCCGTCGACCCGGCCGCAGCATCAGGAGCTGCTCGCGACTTCAGCAGGAGCCTCAGATGGTGCACTAGCAAGATGCACAGGTCGCTCCTCTACATAGGTCACAAATCGTCTGAAAGAATTCATCATCAGCAACAACAACAACAAAGAGCGAACTATGCAAAGAAACCAATTGCCGGTGTCCAGGCACCTTGCCACTTCCACGTGACCCCTCTCCGCAGAAACGGCCAGCGGCGTCCCTTCCGACGATGGCTCATCCACACGTGCTCCTGCTGGAAGGGCAGTCCCACGAGACAGGTGGCTCAACGCATGAAAGTCTCTGGAATTGCGATGCAAAGCCTTCCTGGGGGCACCACCAGCGTTCCTTGCTCAAGAAATGATATCAATGTGGCAGTGATACAGTACCTATTTTGCTTTCATAGAAGAACTGAGTGTCTTCTTTTCAAGCATTCCAGTTCAGAAAGCCGATTTGCTCCTGCTTGAAGGAGGCACTCCACCGCCGTCGCGTGGCCATACTTCGCTGCGGCCCACAGAGCACTTCGCCCATCCGCATCGCAAAGGTTGGCGGAGGCCCGATGTTGCAGAAGCTCGCGCAGAACCTGCGAGGCGTAGAAAGGGATAAGGTGAAGAGAAAGGGAAGTCAAAAGCGTGAGGAGGGGAAGAGATCACAAAATAGAAGAGACCATTGAGGAGTGCACCTTCGAGGCGTTCGTGGCCTTTCAAAGGCATTGTCTCTACTAGCCACAATCCTGCTGAAACTCCAGATGGACCGAGCCAAGGTCACAGGTGCCTTTCATCCATTTTACATGTCAACGCTCTCGAACCTTGCCGCTGCCACACCCCAACCGGCACCCGATTCGTTCTCTCCACCCGGCACCTCCGCATGTCCCGCTTCCGCGGCGAACCACACGGCCGCACCGGTCGAGCGCGGTGGCCCGCCGTGCGGCGGGCCGTCCGGGCCGTCGGGGGCCGCGGCGGCCTCCAGCAGCAGGCGCACCAGCGGAGCATGTCCCCGCCAGGCCGCCAGGGCCAACGGCGTGGTGCGGAGCCGTTGTCCTCGGTCGGAACGGTCGGAACGGACATCAGGTGGAAATGAGATGAAATGAGAGATCTGGAAGAAAACAATGGTGACAAATCTGTAAGGCTTGATCAGTGAAGCTGCCCGATGCCGGCTCCACGCTTGCCCGTTTCTTCAGAAGAGCCGAAACCACTTGCGATTTGCCCTGATAGCATGCAGACAGAAAGGGGTCCGGCAGGTGCCAACCTTGTGAGGTCCGCATCAACGACGCATCGGGTTGCCAGCTCACAAACACGATATCTTCGTCCGTGCCAGGGGATCTGCGTGCTGCCTCGAAGACGTTCAAGGGCAACTTCCTCAAAGAGCCACCCTGAAAAACAGGGCCACGGCCACCTCTCGTCTTCCAGTCTTCGGAGCTGGGATCGATCAAAACGGCCTCCTCTCCTTTGATATCGATCAGAATGCAAAAGTGTCCGAAGTAAGAGCCTGTGGGCGGTTCTGACACTCTCCCGAACTTCAGAAAGGTGGCCACCAGGCTCCAATCCAGCAGCACAATGGCCGCACGGCACGAGAAGTCTCCAAACACATCCGTCACCGAATCCACAAAGAAGCTCCGCAGCTCCTCCAGCGGCACCGAACGGCTTTCCGCCGCCAGGTCCAAGTCGCTGGCCTCGCGGTAGAAGCGCAGGATGCTTTCGCTTCGATCCTCCTCCAGCTCGGATTTGAACTTCTGATAAAAGTCGAAGCCCCAAGGCTCCGTGAAAAGAAAACAGAAGCTAATTCTCACATGTTCGGGGCACAGAAGCCGTCCCAGCGCCAAAGCAAGCTGACGCGTCTCCACGCATCGACCTGGCAGGCATTCGCAGGCCTCATCGCAGAGGGCCTTTCCCACATCCGTCCCGGTCACGGCCTGCGAGGGGGGCGGTGTGTGGAGTCCTAAGGACTCCAGCGTTCGGAACTAGAAGTCTGTTGGACTCTATTTACAGTAAGGACATGTATATAAGGACGCCATCTGTTAGTGGACCATGAAGTCCGTAGTTGAGTCTCCATCTGAGGGTTCCATACATTCTTCAGGGCTTGCTGTGCGGGAAAGGTCAAACATCGATCGTCGATGTGTATAACTATGCATCACTATTACGCAGCAGCTACATTCACTTAGCGCATTAAAGGCGTGTAAAGTGATCCACGAATCCATGTTGCATGCCTGTTCTGTAGGTGTACAGCCTCTTCTGAACAGTTCCAGGGGCAATGGATTCATTAATCAATCATTAAACCCCACAATGGATTATATATATATATACTGGTGTGTGTGTGTGTGTAACCTTTGGAGTCACAAGGTTCCTTTTGGATTTCTTCTTCTGTCAGCAGGGGGACACAGCACTTCACTGGGACTGTGTCCAACGAAGCTACCAGTGAAATGGGATATCCAGCTTGGCTTCAACTTTTAAAGTTTTCCGGCAGACATGCACGTTACGCCGTCATTTGTCGTTTCGATCTCGCTTGAGCTTTTGGCCCCATCTCCTTTTGAAGACCCCCAGGTTCCGTTGGGCCTCTCCTGATCTCTTCACGATTTGGTAACCCTAGGTGGCCGTGTGGCGAGCGGCATTCACATCAGTATGCATTTCTATAAGTGTGTGTCTGGCGTTGTGGTATGAATGTCCAATGTGTGTCGTTTGAAAGCCACTGAATTTGCAAACAAACAAACCACGATCGGCACAATCCTTCCATAGCCCAGCCTTCATCAAAATACGAACACACGTGGGCCCACAATCCATTTCGCCTCCCTGCACCAGTGCATCCATCACTGGGCGTGGTTGCATTGAGCTTCCTTCAGCAGCTGGACAAGCAATCCCGCCCCAGGTATCGCAAAGATCTGCTTGAAGCTTAGAAAACTGCGGCAGAACATGGCGGGTGCTTACTGACAACTTGCATCCCCTACTTCAGAAGAACATTCAAAACAGTTGCATCCTTGTGGTACCAAACACCAAAGCGTGACAAATCGTTCTACATACACAATGTCACTACGTCTATGCTTTTGACATTTTAACTTCGGGGTGGACGTTTCTGACGTTTCCTCCACCAGCATGCTGTGAAACACGGACGTCAAAAGGGCGGGAGGAGAAGGACTGTAGTCACTGTGGTCCATGTCACAAAAGCGCCCACTCGCATCCCCTTGGTGCTTTTGCACTATTAGGGTCATCGCTGGGGCACCGAGAAGCCGCGCGCGTGGCCAGAACCAAGAAGCGCACCCACCATGGAGTGTTGCGTTCAGGATGGTCCAGGCCTTGTTTTTTGCTGGAATGAGGAGGGCAAAGGGGATGAATAAAATGATGACATGAGACCCTGAACGGGCCCAAACTGGGGAAGCTTTGACCGGCACATTCGACCACAACATCTCATTGGGGTTTTGAGCTCGCAGTCTTGCACCCGTAAAGGTCGCACCACTGCTTGATTGGATGACTTACGCTGCTGAGTGCTGTGCATTGAATCACATCGGAGACGTCTTGCCTGCAGGGCGACCCGGTCAAGTGACGCAGCAGCGTGTTAACTCTTCAATAATGTAACAGACTTGTAGTGATCCCAAAATAGACAGAAAAAGACTGAAAAAAGAGCCTCTAAAATTGCGTTTGAAATGAGTGAAACGATCCAGTTGGGGACTAGACTTCGGGAAATGTGTTGAACTCTTCCCCTCTTACGTCAATCCACCCACCACAAATTTGCTAACATTGAACCAAATGATCCGCTCCTTTGCCATACCACTGGAATGTGTTCAATGCTGCAGGAAGAGAGAGTTTTACGCAGCTTGGATCAACGGAGATCGTCACGGTCGGCCTGCAAAGACCCACGGCCTCGCGAGACGGGCGAGACGGGCGAGACGGCCAACCTGGAGGCCCAGGTCGGGGAAGTCCATTGATTCATAGCAAGCCGCAAAAGAAAAGGGAGGAGTCAAGAGTCAAGACACTACTACCCTAGCAAAATCCACCAAAGAAAAGCTCTTCAGACCTTCCGCGTTTGGCACTCCTTACCACCCTTGGGGGCAGGAGGTCAGGGAGTGGCTACAACACTGTATGCACGAGGGCAAGGCTCTGGAAGCACGAAGACTACAAGTGGTCCTTAAAGCTGGCCCCATCTGCCCCTCCCAAAGCTCCCAAAGTAGAACTGTGAAAGCAAGTGCCATTCGTTGCACACCTGCCAACACTCTTGGCAACAAGGATGAGCAGGCCTGGTCTTTCTTATATTTACAAACACCGATCATATATGCCTCTGCAAGAAGGCTATGCCTCCAAACTCTCCTCTACTCTTGGGAAGGAGGTGTGGCCAACCCCGCAAAGGTGTAAAGGAATAACATCGATGTAGAATTTAGAGGTGCAGAATAAGATCAATAACATCATTGTAGCAGGAATAACATCACAATGCAGGGGGTGTTGCCAAGGTTCTGACCAGCCTTCCAGTGCTCAGGGAGATGTAGAATGCCCTGGAGATGTACAAATGCTGATCAAAACTATCGGTTGTGTGTTCGAAAATCACGATGTCAAGCCAGCAAATCCATCATTAAAATAAGGTTTCTATGGACCGGTGTCAAATAGAACCACTGGTCTCAAAAGAGTGATGTGTTGCAACATTATATAATATGATCAATCTTCCTGGAACCATTGAAAGTGGCAAAGAAGATGCACATCAACTTGTGGGACCTTGAGTCCTTGACCAGAACCCAAATCCAGGGCATTCCTGTCTCGCCAATCAAGCAAAGGGATGCAAAAGGTATGTAAACATTGTTGCCTTCCAGAATCATTTGTCCAGTTACAGCATTTGTCTAGAGTTTGGTCCCATAGGAAGTTCCATCATCTCCCCAAAATCTCGCCTCACAGCCAGCTTGGAGCTCTATGATGAAGAAGTAAACCTCCCAGATCTGATATCACAATTGTGTACACAGGATTTGACATGCTGCCAGCTGAGCCATGCACTCGCAGCCAGCACCTCCGGACCGCGGACCGACTAACGTTACAAAAGGTTCACGGGATACCGGGTCGTCTCCCCACTCGTCACCTGGGTCGTCACGACTGGGTCGTCACTGCTCGCCGATTTTCCGTTGCAAAAGGTGATCATCCTGTCCAGCGGAATCGAGAGGTCTGAGGTGTGAATTACAGGCGTCTGAATGTGTTTCAGCACCCTGTCCACCTGCCGGGATGGGTACTTCAGCAGCCTGACAACATGCCACTGGCGCCCCAAAGGGCCTTGAGAAACTTACGAAAATGAAAAAAGGGTTAGACTGCTACTAGCTACAGCTGTGCCTGTTTAGACACAGAGCCGCGACGATGACTCATCATGGCACTTCTGAATGTCAGTCAGAGGCATTCACCAGTCAATAACATTTCACAAACCAAGAAAGACTTCGTTTTGCCCAAGACATCATCGAAACGGCACTTGGACTTGCCCACTGTGCCCTCTTGGCCGCTAAGTCTAGGATCTTCCTATCCAATTCTGGTAGAAGGGCAAGTCCGATTTGTGAAAATGCAACACATGAAGCTCCTATATCTTCACCATGTGGAAGACTCCTGTTGGCCTCACTTGCAGAAGAGGCATCCTGTCAGCACCTACAAAGGAACATGAGTCTTGAAATCCAATGGCCTCATTACCTGGTGCCACATCTGTCTGTGCGGTTTGCCCAAGCTCCATCAACTGTCCATGACCCTGAACCCCTGGTGGCAAAGTGGGTCCAAGCGCCACACCCTCCATAACAAAACCAGAAAAGGTGAAACATCAACGCTCTACTGGGGAGCGATGTTCAACATGTGAGCCTTGGAGAACCTCTTTGCAAGGCTTTTGATCCTGGAGTCGGACACGGCAGGGTCAATCAGCGGCTTGGCCTCGCAGGGAAGCAGTTTTGGAGACCCTTTCCGTCCGTCCATCCGTCCGTCCTACCTCCCTCCGTTCCTTGCACTCTTTTTCTCTATCGATCGATCTATCTATTTCCAATATGATATGTATATATGTATAATATGCCATATATTATGTGTATGTGTGTAACTATATTGCGATATATATATATATATATATATATCCAAGTCTCTCTGTCATGATAGAAGTGCCATATAGTTACTTGGGATGCAAAAAATATCACAAAATGTTTAAAAGATTCACTCCGCTTGCAACTCTACTGGCCAGAATAGCCTGTTCCTCAACTTTGAAATTGTCCACGACGTTCTCGAGCTCTTCCTTCCCAGCCAAATCACTGGGCCAGAGGTGTGGTCTCGTTTCAAGACGTCATCTTAACCATTCTCGTCCTTACCTCTATTACTGCACCTCTTAAGCTAGAGGTGGCAGTGGTTTAAAAATCCCCTCCATGTTTGGTTCACCTCAGGAAAATTGAAGAAATCCATCTACAAAATTCCCACCTGTGGATTGTCATCTGGGTGGCCACCAAACATCCACTCCTCATCCCATAAAAATCCCCCTCTCTCTCTCTCTCTCTGCGATGCAGGCGAACCAAAAGGCGACCGACACCGCGTCCACCGGAGGGGCGGCCCGACGGGCGACATTGACAAGGGCATTTACTTCTAGTAGCGAGAGGCTACGAACGTAGCGATGCACTTGTTACTAGATGTTACTAGTAGCTTCTTGTTACCAATAGCGATGCGCCTTGTTGGATGGCATGTTGGCGGCCATCTCGGTGGCCTGCCGCCCCGGCTCCGGCGCCGGCTCCGCCTCGTCGAGCACCTCGTCCGCAAGGACGCCAACGAAATCACCGGGGAGGGCCAAGGGGTGGATCTTGAGGTTAGCAACACAGAAGTAACACACCTCGTGGAGTGATTGCAAGGGCTCTTTGCTAACCCCAAGTGGATTCTCGTCGGATCTCCCGGGTCTAAATTTGGAGACCACAACGGATGAGCAAAATATGCTTCGAATGAATCCATGGCGATGACATGGAGCAGCTGTCCCACCTCCTTGGCAGGCTCCGCCTCCTTGGCTGCAGGCACCTCTGGCTTCTCCAACATCTGCGTGCTGAGCTTCGTGCTCAACACTTTGGCAGCCTTGCAAGAACGCAGAGAAGAGGACTGTCACAGAATACTTCACCGTTCTTCCTCAGAGTGTGGATGGAGCTCGAAAGAACTACGGATCCAATCTGTCGACGTTCCCCGGACTGAGCCTCGGCCACCTCCGCTCGCTTCACCACCTTGGCTTTGCGGAGGCCCATCGCGTCTGTATGCAGCCCCAGCAGATTTTTTGGGCAAACAAAACGCCTTTGCTCTCTAGAGAATTAGGAGCAAGAAGCTACTAGTAACACTCGCAGCATGCGACTTTCCTCTACCGCAGCGTGGGTGGGACGTCCCAGCGACGGATGCCAACGGTTGTGGCTTGATCGCCACAGAGGAGGGCTGCACCACGGACGGTCGCTGTACTCGGGAGTCCTTGGATCGAAACGCCAAGAGGAGGGGTGCTGTGCCTGCTGTGGGCATATGAGATACACCACAATGGATTCGAGTGGTTGGTCTCTGTCCATGGTTGCTGCACTAGACCTAAACCTTAGAAGTTGAAAGACCATATTTTGGCCGAGTGATGTAAAGAAGTTCCCTTTCTGGTACCCTAAAGACAACTCTTTTTATAGTCTTTGACTCTCAGGGTATAGTCCATTCTGCTGTTTGGTACAGTGCCACGGTGCAGGAAGAGGCTGTACCGCATAGGATTTGGAAATCTGTGGCTGGTAGCGCATGCTGACGTCCTGGGCATTCAAAGGCTCCACAAGCAATCGTCAGTCACACTCGTTCTCAAAGGTTCAAAAAAAGGATGTTGGGGGACCGGACAAAAGCATTCATTCCTCCTAACTCATGCTCACTCAGTTTTCCTGGAAAAGAAAGGTTAACCGTTGTCCACCTGTTCCCATCCGTCTCCTGTCCACGCGCGCATGCTACATGCGGTGACTCTCTGGTCACGACACAAAGCATGTTGCAAACAAATCCCCAGTGAAAAGAACTACAGTAATTATTGCACACCGAAAGGGCAAATGTCCAATTGGTCAGTTTCTGACCATGGCCGTCCAAAAGAATGGCCGCAAATGTACTAAGCTCAGTGTTCAACATCAATGGTCTTGCATGACAAATCGATCCCTTCGGTTGTTTAGTGGGGAAGCCAGTTCCCAACAAAAAGGTTGAAGGTTATCCACTGACTGGGTTTGCCTCAAAGCAACGAATCAAAACTATTCTGGCGAAACGAATGCCTTTAAGTGTTCACCCAGTCCGACCCAAGTCTGCACCAGGAACACTGAAGGCGACGGCGGGCTACTCCCACCCAACTGGGTTTGCGATGACGATGGTACAGAGCCAAGGTTCCAAACTGATAGAAGAACCTCCGACACGGTAGGGTTGTGGGTTCGCCACATAGCTGCCCATGACCTGGTGGCAACACAATGGTTGAATGTTGCGGCCCAAAGCTCCCTTGGTCGGATTGAAGATCGGCCTCCCAACAAAACCGAACGAAAACCAGGACAAAACACTGAAAGGCTGTCCGATCCCTTCTGGAAAGAAGACTTTTCTGTTTCCTCATCTTTCCTCACCTCGCGGTTTAAACCGCAAGTTCGCGCTTGAACGCGGTGCTCGGGCGACTCGGCTGAGGTTCTCACAGATCGAGGCATCTGGATCATGGCGCCTCAGCACTGCCCCAGGAGGGGCGGGTGGAAGATCTGCACTGCCGGAGGGGCGAGCGGTGACGCTTGGTGCTTGGTGGGAGAAAAAGCTTCAAACCAAGCTCAATCGAGCCGTGGACTCCATCCAAATCGGTGACATCTTTGCAAGTCGGTCACATTGAGTCACTGCGATGCACCCTGAATATAGTTTCTTTGGGTGACATGTCACGGGGGGTTGAGACTCAGTGTGGGTCTCTTGTCTCTTCTGTTCCTTCGTTCCTCCATATATGTTTATCAGTTTATCAATCAAGTTCATCTGAATATAGATTATGATGATGAGGATGATGAGGAGGAGGAGGATGAGGACGACGACGACATTGGCAAAAGTTGTAATATGTCTCATCTCATCTCATCTCATCGCACTGCATCTCATATCATATTATATCAAATCATATCATCTCCTCAAAGTCGTCATCATCATCGAATATGGAAACAAACCCGTCCAAACGTGCCAACCACCAAGCCCTTCTTCCAAGAGGCTGGAACCCATGGGCTTTGTCATCGGAGTGCTCCCGCCAGGAAGATAGGTGGGTCTTGCCGACAGCAGTGGCCCCGTGGGATAGTTCTGGGGCCGGGCGCCAATCGTGCCCATTGGAAAACTTGGCATTTGAGACGCAGCAAGCGGCGCAGGCATCTTTATCATGGATGGCGTAGGCTGGCGGTACATCTGCACCTTGGCCTTAGTCAGAGTCTCCCAGGCAACATGGGCCAATTCACAAGGAAAATATCTCCGTACAGAGAAATGATATTTTTCAGGAAGGCGGGGATTTGAGATGAACAAAGTAAAGTTGAACGAGGGAAGGTACCGGCAATAAGCCTTCGCAAGCTGAGCTGAGCACTGACATTGTGCGGGATCCAATCACTGAGATCTCCAGATCCGTCGCGCTTCTTCGCTGACTGAGCTGTAAACGGCTACGAGTGCCACGTTCAAACGGCTGCTGGCCAGGTGCCGTGTTTTGAAAGCAGAGAATTGCAAATAATATGTGAATACCTTCTGCTTTGTGTCTTGCAACCTGTGGTGCATGAGGTGCAATGGTAAGCATATCCTAGGGCCAGGAGCCTCCACTTTCATTGCTGATGCTTCAGCGACGAAACCTCCCTGACTATGACTTGGCCGTGGGTCGGGGCACGCAGGACCGCTGAAAATCAATGAGATGTCAACCTGCTATGGCTTTGGATTTCTAGATTCTAGATTTGATCAAACTCTTCCACAACTTGACTGTGGCTGCAAGCTTTGCCCAAGCTTCTTGCCTCCGCCAGGACCACTGCGCTTGTCAGTGAGACAATCATCAAGCTCAGAGCCTCACCATGTCGTGAAGGGAATCCACTGCAGGAACTTGGAAGACCTGTTGAATCATCCATTTCTATGGTCCATGCAAGATCTTCGGCAGCTTTTTGGAAAACTCCAGCCATAAATGCTTACATGACTCCAGTCAAGATGGTTGATTAAGACTTGAACAATTTGACCGGGCTTCGCCTTGGGTGCTAAAGACCATAGACCATAATTGCCATAATATCACCATATCACCATAGCCAACCCAATCCAAGCAGCTCCGAAGGATGCGATGGCAGCCCACCTGAATGATGCTTCTGTGACCCGGGACTCGGGACCCGCTGGAGCACTTGACCCGCTGGTGCCACCCGGAGAACGAGGCCCGCAAGTGGTACAGCATAGTGGTACCCACGGTTGAAAGCATTTTGTTGACCCTTGCACTATGCTTTCGCCTTGTGGAAGATCTTGCCGCGGTCGCTCCGCAGGCTCCACAGGTGCTGAGTGCCAAGGCACCCACACCACCCAGGAGCAAGGCCCTGGGTAGAGCCTAGCATGTGAAGGACTGGAGGTCTTCAAAATAGCGCGACAAGTCTTCAACGGTAAAAGCTCAGTGCGTCTTCCTTAGAACCAGGCGTCTGCATAATATAGTCAGAATTGGAACTGTACTGCACAGCAACTACGACTCAACTGGCATGGTGCGATTGAAATGGATCACCGCACCATGTCACCCATGAAAACTCGTTCGTGTCTTTCAGCTTGACCAACTCAACCATCAGTGGTGTTTTCATCTTCCCAAACTTGGATTGTATTTGGCTTGGCATTTTGCCAGTAGCTAGAACCTACTAGGTGGAGGCCATCGCTATTAGGTTGGAGGCCATCGCTACTAGTCGCAAGCGGTGTCTTCATCTTCCTCTTGCTTTTGCCGTTGGCCTTTTCGGTCGACCGAGCGCCGCTGTGACTCGTGACTCGCCGCGTCACCGGACGAGGCCTCCCAAGTCAAGCGCTCCGAGGTCTGCTGATTCCATTCCAGGAGTGAGAGCGTCCTGGATGCGGCGGTGTCAGGGGCTGGAAGACCCCAAAAGGACTGTCTCTTTCTTTAAAGCCCGGCGGGGGGGGTAGGCCGCTGGGAGGTAGGTAGGTAGGTAGGTAGGTAGCTAGGTAGGTAGCTAGGTAGCCAGTAGCTGAGTAGGTAGAGGTAGCTAGGTAGCCACTAACTACTGGACGCGGGAGAGCTCGGGCTAATGATTTGGTTCCTAGTTTTTAAAGGGAAACTTAAGGTTGGAGGCCTTGTGTAGATCACTGTCATGCTGGGCCTTTGTCTAGGCATGCTCTTTCGGGCCTCAACCATGAAGTGTCAGCATGGATCAACGGCCAATGGTCGAGTGATGCCAAGTATGACCCGTTCCATTTGAGAAATGGGCATGCAACTTCAAGGTACAGTAGGGCCTCAAAACCAAAACCGAGAACCTGTGGCTGCAAGCAGCAGTTGACGAGCTCACTCTCTCTCTCTCTCTACCGATTCCTGGGTGCGAAAAGTTGTGGGAACTCACCATCTTCTGTACAGACTGTACACACCGAAGGAGCAGAAAACGTGACAAATGAAATTCTCACATCGAATTTCTAATCCTCCAAAGTAGTTCCAACCCTCTCGCTGAGGCCAATCACAGTACGGCTCATTTCGACTTGTCTGACGTGTTCTTCTGCCCACAAAACCGCAGCATGGAGGTCCGCTAGCGTCTCTTCAGGCTGTTGAAGAATCTCCGCGAGACCAGATTCCTGAATCTGGCGGCGCACATTGCCACAGGCATTGGTCACCAAAACCTTCACATCTACTTTTGACCAGGAATCCTTGTAGTGTGCCAAAGCCGTTTCATCCAAGAAGGGCACCATGCGCCAGTCCGCGATCGCCACTAAGATCTCTTGCTTCTGCTTCCGGCGCTCCGCGCGCGCCGCGCGCGTGTTGGCCGCCGCGTTGCCGAACCAGCGCGGGCCCATGGGGCGGGTGATGCTGATCTTCGGGATGGGACACGCCGCCGAGCCGGGGCCCAGCTCGTCGTAGCTCGCCGTGCCGGGGACGCGGCCGATCTTCACGTAGCCGGGCCCGGCGAAGCGCGACATGGAGACCACGACCTGGAAGAGGATGGCGACCATGGAGCCGTTCACGATACCAAAGAGCAAGGGAGACAGGAAAGCCTCAGGTGTTCTGCACTCCGAAAAGACATAGAGACATATCTTGCTTGCATCTTGAGCTTCAAAATGTTGAGCAAACATGGTTCGGGGTGTTCATCCAGAATAGGGAAATCCGTGCTCCTCTTTCCTGACACCAAGTTGCTTTGTTTCAGTTCATTGAAAAAAGCGATAAAGGTCCTCAAATTGTGGAAATTGTCTTTACTGCCCGCCTCGAGCAAGGGGAGTTGGGGTCAGCTATGACATGCTCCAAAATCATCTACAAAAGCTGAAAAAGAATAACTGGAAAACAAAAATGTCTTCTTCAGAAGCATGAAGAAGCCATCAAGTAGATCCCCAGGTCGCTGGCCACCAAAAACCCTAAGGTGCTGCTCTGGGCGCCATATCACGCGCTCTGCGCTTGCCGGTAGAGATGCCGCAGCTCCGAAGGCAGGCTACTTAGGAGCGGAGCAAACTCCACCAACAAGATCACTGATACAGCGCACCTGGAGCAAGCTTGATCACCCAACAGTTTTGCGCTGGTCACCCGTATTAGTCATTAGTCTTGCTGGCTGACAAGCTTCGAATTCAAAACATTCCCACTAAATTTCTAGGTCTCAAGGGAGCAGTGTCAGAAACTTCAGATGCTGCACCTTGCCTGGGGATCATCAATCTCAGCTTGGCCACCAAGTAGAACGCGCCAAGGTGACCCAAAATGCTGCCCAAGGTAGCGAAGAAACCAGTTCCACTTCGCAAAGCCTCAGCTTGCAGCTTGAGAAAAGTATTCATTAAAGCTCATGGTCCTAGAAGAAATGGCCAACAAACAACCACCACCACCACCACCACCACCACCACTCTTGAAGTCTCCCCACCCATTGATCATTTCATCGAACCGGGTTCGATCCTTTCGACGACTTGGGAAAGGACCAGCGATCCACCCGTTCAGGGGGGCGGGCCGGTTTGACTGGGCCCTGGTTATGGTGGTTCAACGTCGCCCGGTTCAGATCGATGTCGACCTGGCCTTCAACATGGTTCTCTTGGAGTCATATCCGCTACAGATCGACGCAAAGAACCTCTCCCGCCTGGCAGACTGCCAGATTGGCCATGACAGGCATCCCACCCAGGGTGGAGGCAGCCAGACTACTGGCGCCCAGCGCCAGAAGTTCCCGGCGCGGCTGCCACGGATCTTGAGGCCGGCGTACACGCTGAGCCACCGTGAGGTGACTTCCTGGAACATCCCTCTCACAGCGCATCTAGGCTGGTTCATAGTCTCATTCACTGGAGTCGCCAGCCACAAAAAATAGACTTCTTTGGTGTTTATTTTTCCTTAATTCCAGGTCAACGTCCAGTCAGGGTTCATGTCCAGTTTAGTCTTCCACACATCATGTCCATCATCTTCAAAAATCCTTCCCACCCTCTGCTGGCCCGTATCGCTCGCTCCTAAGGAGAGGAAGGCCGTGAGCACGGCCGTCGGCAGCGCCGACGACATCAGCTGCCACGTCCATCCCGAAAAAGCCCACCGGGCGGAGGGCTCCTGCGCGGGACCCGCGTGCGCCATTGGGTTGTTTGGGGTCACAGGAGGGTCTCACAGACCCAAAACAGAACCCCAACAGGGCTACTTAACCCCCCCCCACTGGATCCTAGCATTTCGACATGCGTATTGACACTTTTTGCGGGGTTTTAATCTTCGGTTGTTGATCGGGTGGTGACCACTGCTTCCAGGCTCACTGGAACTGTCCTAGAGTGCAGCGTGCCAAACATTCCTTTGGGCAAGACAAGCCTAGAGATCGTGGCCAGTAGTGCAGATGGAACCCCACATGAAATGAAATTGTCCAAGAGATGTGAGCCAGCAAATATTGTATAAATACTGTAGAGAGGAGACCGAACAGTTCTTTGGTCCCAGAAGCCTGCTGATTTGGCCGCAGCTTGAAGACCCATGGGGTGAATGCCCCTGCAGGCGCCCCAAAGTTATCCCCAACGAGCAACCTCACAGGGGCCTCGGGCCTCATCAGGTGAAAAACATAAAATCCTGTCGAACTTCAAGATCTTCAAGGGGCAAGTTGCATTTCACTGTCCAAAGCTGAAAAACAACAAACCAACATATCACATTCTTTTACCACATCCTCCCCAATCGGGTCCTCAAATCCATCAAGTGGCCCGATGCCATCAAGATGCCAACTTACAACTGTTGCAACCGCAAGAACGATCAGATTCCCAGAGGAATGCAAGAGTCTGCAAATGACACGAAAGCTTTGAAGGCAACATGAGATTGCCTTGTTCCTGCAACTCCTTGATGTGTTTGTGTTGGGTGACTTCCCGGAGGCGCACCATCCCAACATTTTGCAAAGAATCAATGCTACCAGCAAGCAGATCGACAGAAGAAAGGTCGGCCAGTGGACCTGCTTGGGCAATTGTAAACAGGTCTTTCCAAAGCGCAGCAGGGGCGAAGTCGGCTTCCTTGGCAAGAATGGTCCGAAACAACGAAAAAACTCCTTTGTCGAAAACCGAATGTGAGTGATCAATGATTAGCTGATTGGCATAAACCACCAAGTATACAACACCTAAGAGTGAATGAATAGCACTGAGCAATGGCCAAGAATCTCATCCAAGAACACATCGAAAAGCACCTCCGCTTGTGCCAGCATCACCACCAGCGCGGCCGCTCCCGTGCGTGCTCGCAACAAGGGCTGACTGAAAAGCTCCACCACTGCGGCCAAGTCGAAAATGCCCATGGCGAAGTGCATGGCCCCCACCAAGACGGCCATCATCGATGCCAGATTGGCCGCGGCGGCGGCGGCATCGTCAGCCAGTCCCGCCTCGCCCGCCTCGCGCGCGGCGACGAGTTCACCCAAGCAGAGGGCGGCCGTGGAGCCCGATTGAACCGAGAGCAAGGGAAGACTTCCCAAAGCCATATAGACAAAGGGCGAGGTGATGCTGGTGTTGATGCTCACCTGAGTTTCTGGCGTGCGTTTCGCACCGCCTTTGGCCACCGAACTCAACAAACGAAAACCTGTGGTGCTTGCGAGTGACGTATGTTGGTACTTTTGCAAGGACGGCGTGCCCAATCACCAGTGGCCAAAACACGGCACCGACAGCAAGGCCGTGACACAGGTCACGAACGGCAGCCGAGGGATCTTCGGTATAACTTCGACATCGATTCCACGACGGCATGGAAATCCAAAAGCTGTACAGGCCGAGGAAGCCTCAAATGCATGCCGAGCTCTTTGGGCCGAGCTCTTTCGATGTGGCACATTCAAACCGACCCGGTTAAGCCAGTGAACGCGCCCATCACGGACCTTTTGCGGGATATAATATATGAAATCACCTTCCAGTGTAAATGTGTTCCAACACGGCTGCACCAAGGAACGCTACGTACGTCGGTAGGTCCCAAATGTCACGATCAAGTGCATGGGCAATTCGATCCAATTCTCACCCCTGGTTGGTGCACAATTCACCAAAAAAACAATAAACCTTTGAATTTGTCCATAGTGCTTCAGCCTCTCCCCCATGTTTTACTTCATTCACTAAGCAGTTTTAAATCTTCTTTCACTTCCATGGCACTCCCCGAGGTTTCCACACCTGGACCCTCCCGTCGCCCATCCCCGCTCCCGCACACCGCGACGAGGACGGCACCGAGGAGGGTGCAGGTCCTGGAGCTCGGCGCTGTCGGCGCTTTCGCAGTGGTGTGGTCGCGAGTGGTGAGACCAATTTTGTTCCCTTGGTTGGATTTCGAGTCGAATTAAGTTTACTTTAGGGTTCGAGTCGAGGTGAGCCATGGTATTCGAGTTGAGGTGATTGAACGGTGACACTCCGAGACCTGCACTGGAAAAAGATTCCGAAGTGCGGCGATTCTTGGGCTCTGAGGCTATGGCCTTTGCCTCTGGACAACCATGAGGAAGCATCATGGGCCTGGACAAGAAAGAAGCCTTTCATTTGATCATGGCTCGAAAACATGATAATCATGATATAGTTCTTTAATATATAATGATATATAACTATAATTGATATAAAGGATATAAGTAACTATAGTAGTTATCCAAACCCACTGGTCAAAGGCAAAAATTGTCTAAACCCAGAGCTTCCGACCAAATCCTACGAAGGTCTTTTCTGAGCCAGGTTCGGCAGGTTCGTCAACAAATGTCTGGTCCGTCTCCATTGTCTCTTGGTCTCTCCAGCCTCATGGCATGGTTACTTCCGCATCAGTCACATCAGCACGAAGTGGACATGTGAAAAAGAGCGGTTGGAACCGACAGCAGTGTGGAAAAACCCACTCACTCAACTCTTTAGACTTACTGACTTGGCCTGTAGTGTGTGGAAAAAGAACGCTGCTAACGGCTGCAAATTTAAACTGAGACATCTGCGGTTCCGCAAGCTCGCTGCAGGTGGGGTTCCAAGCGGTCAAAGAAGTCATGCCCAGATTCTCTGGTCAAGTTGCGCCCATCATTTCAGGGAACTATCATGTGTCATAATCATCCAAACACATGAACCCCAAGTTCTTAGTCCACCGCTTGAGAAACATTTGAACACTTCTCTGCTGGTGTAGCAGTGTATTAGGGTGATTTGTGTCTACCTCTGATTGTCAAAGTGTCTAGTCAGAAGTGACCCCTTGCCCTGCCTTGCCCTCCCCTTTTTCACCATCAGTAATGAACGGGCTCATCAATGTCAGAATCACTCTCGCTCATCTCATCTTCGTAACGATCTTCACCTCGTCCCGGGTGCGTGGCGCGGTGCGTTTCACCAGAAATCCACCGCTGTTTCTTCTGCGCTCAATTGCGGTTGCGACCCGGGTGAGTCCAAACGAAGACTAAGTGAGCCAATTGCACCTACCCATTGGCCGGTGGGTCCAAACCAGGATACCTTGTTGGATCTACCTGGAAGGTCAAGCCATTTTTTCTGCCAATTGCTTCTGACCGACTCCCCCCATGGCCCAACTAAGGCCCAACATGTTCACTGAGACCCCCCGGCTGGCACGGTGCAAATCCACGCGACGAGCATACCCGTAAAACGGCACCGTCTGCTTGATCCGCCAGCGCCACTTCAAGCGGCGAAACCGCTTCAGGGCCTCGGCGGGGAGTGCACCCCCGACGCCGGGGTGCGCCGTGAACGGCGGACCGCCTAGTAGACCGTCCTGGCTCCGTTCGTAGCGTCCTTGTTCCTATAGTAGTAAGGCCAGGAGCTACGTTCGTAGCGTCCCTGCTCCTAGTAGCGATGCCCTTTGCTCCGTTCGTAGCTTTAGATGGTTAGCGGATCGGAAGGCCGTGTCCGGCTGCCATGAAGTCTTTACAACATAGGGCTTGGTGATAGACCCGTCGACGGCCTGTTGAGATCGGGAAGATCGGTTGCCGAAGAGAAGCAACGGCGTTCCGCTCGAAATCTTGCGTATCAAGCAAAACGTAGAATGCTTCGCGTAGCGGCGTAGCAGTATGCAACATCCACAATTCTTGGACCTGTGTTGGGATCTGACTTGCCAGTGGTATCAAGGGACCCGGATGTTGCGGTTCTTCCACAGCAATGACAGAGCTCCCGTTCTGCAAAGCTTCGGGTGTAAGAAGTTTCTGAGCGCATGACCCATTTGACACCAACCCCACCTTGCATCTGCGAAAACCTGGGTGGTCAAAGACACATGCTGAGAGATTCAACCGTCCCAGAAGTCCAACACAGAGGTTCACAACTACGACCCTCGTGCTCCACCTTACTCCAAAAACACCTCCAAATTTTTGGGGATTGAGAGTAGATGGCACAATCCCCAAAAGGTAGTTTAGATGGACCCCCATCTAAAGGACATCTTGGGGTTCCAGTGCCATCTACTATGAAACCACTGTTTGTCCCATCTTCAGTCTGGAGCTTCTTTGGTTTTCAGGAGCCCAGGGATGACCAACTCACCACCTGGAAGAAACCTTTCATCGAGTGATGCACTGATGAAGGAAAGGCCCTGAAAAAGACCTTGAAGAGGCGGCTAGACGAACTCTCACATGTAGCTCCTAATAGCTTCTTGTTCCTAGTAGTAAGGCCAGGAGCCCGGTTCGTAGCGTCCGATCGCTCCGTTCGTAGGGATGCCAGGGTTGCCCCGTTCGTAGCGAACCTTGTTCTTGACTGAACGAAGACTGCAGCACCAACTGCCAAGCTGTCCGATGCTTGGACCTTCTGTTTGACCTCTCCACTCGATTCTCCGATTCTGCGTTCGCACCTCACCGACCGACCTCACCCCATGCCCAGTGGCTGCATGAAGAAGGTGCTGGATTTATCTGCGGTGCAGTGGTGGCGGTGAACTTTGACCTCAGAAAGCTTCTCAAGCATTTGACTCACTCGCAGGTTTTGGGATGCTTCAGATGACGGACTTGCAAAGAAATATATACAGGTTCGGTTCACAGGTGGAAAATGGGACACGACGATCTCGAAGCTCAAACTACTCCATGTGCACAGACAACCAAGGTCAGAACGGGAAAGAAGTCCAGTCGATTAATGACCTGGGATGTAAAGCAAACATCTTTCTGATAGCTCCGAAATGCCAATTGCCTTACCCTCTTGCTAGCTTATAGCTTTCGAAGCGGACCCAAGCAACATCATTTTGACAATTGTTGACCCATCCGCGTGCCTGAAGAAACTCCTCAACGGTCATATCCTGGCTTTAGAGCTCCACCCAAAAGCGCATCAAGTCTTCAAAATCAAGTGGTAATATGACACCCAAACAAGGGAACCCCGGAAAAAACGTGGAGTTCCCTGCTTTTGGGGGTTGCATGCACATCAGCAGCTTACCCCACAACAGCAAGCTCTATGATTGGCACAGAAACCTTGCCCCCGTGCCTCCTGCCAGCCGGTGCTGAAGACCCACATCTTGCTGCCGTAGCCCTGACAAATTGCTGAAATGGTGTCTATCAGCCTCGCAACTTCCTTGTGGCTCGAGGGGAGGCACCCGAAAGCCATGCTTCGCTAAAACCGCATCCAAAACATGCCGCGATGGCATGCATCAAGAAGTCCAAGTCCTGCAGAATAGGGGGCTGTGACCGTCTGTGAGTCTGACCGGACTCGGACTTGTCTTTTTGCTAAGACTCTGACCGGATGGCTTGCAAAAAGAGTGGCTCGGCTGGACCATAGGAAGGCAGCTCCTCAGCCGGCGCGATCCGAACTCTTTGCGAACGCTGCCGGACACGGTGGAGTGTGCATCCTTTCTGGAGTCACCTGTACTGACTGCAAGCCATCATGGTCTCATCACTTTGCAAGATGTGAAACTGCGGACACTCCTTAGCCATTGTTAGCATGCCAGCATCATAACGGGCGCAGAGTCTAACCAGAGACTGACTGGTCCCAGTCCAAACCTAGTTCAGACAGATGTGCTTCCCAAAATGGACCATGTCATACCATGTCTACCCGGCTCTTCTGCCCACCCAGTTGGCTCGCCACCGTTCACGGACCGTGAGAAAGCGAAAGCCCTCGGCGCGCCAAGGCGCCGAAGAGAGCACCGTGCGCCGCCCGTTTGGGCACTGCCAACTCCTGGGCACGGCATGACAGCTGCGAAGTGAGGTGAAAAGGAGAATCGATGTGGTGATCCTGAACGAGGCCTGTGCATCGCTTTTAGGATGGATGTAGGTGGGAGGCCATCGCTCTTAGTAAACAAGGAAACAAGAAGGAAGAAAGGTCTATAACTTATAACATAGTTTGCTATTATGTAAACGTGTTTTCCAAACCGTGTTTCCAAACTACCCCTCAATCTATTGGCTGATGAAGGCATGTTCAAGGGGGATTCTTCGAGACCGGGAAATCGGTCATCGATTTCGTCGTGGTCGGCTGAAAAACCTGGTGAAAGCCCAGTGGTCATGGTGCGAAAGGATCTTCAAAATCTGTCAGTTTCAGAATCCATGCCTCTTTCACAGGAACCAAGAGCGTTGCCAACATCTCTGGAAGCTCTCTTTCCCCTTTTCCGGCCTTTTCCAACTCTTCTGCGTGTTCAATTTGCAATCCTCTTCTGCGTTCAGGCTGCGCCGCTGTGCTGTCCGTTTCACTTTCCATTGGTCTGCAGTCTTTGAACACCTCTTTGAAGGGGTGGAAATTACCTTTTGGATTGTGAGGCCTGCCCGCATTGTGATCATTCAAAATGCAAAAGGTCACTTGCCTTAGGCGAGTTTTGGCCAGCTCTTCTTTGAACAGTCTTGCCACCTCCTCTGGAGGATTCCCAAAAGCCCCACATCCAAAGGCCGAAAATACACATGCATCGCACTGGGCAGACGTGGCGCCGTGAAGCAAAGCTCGAATCTTCGATCGCATCAGACTCTCCTCTCGTGGCGGATACTTCAAGTCGTCCGTGAGCTTCGGATGCTGCAGGGCGGCGCACGTCAGGAACGTCACATGAAAGGAACCTTGCTCCAAGAAGGGATAGCCCTCGTGCTCGGGGCCTCGAAGAATGGTCACATCACGCGAAACCAGGCACTGGGTAGCCTTCAAGGGATACTGTGTGGGGTCCAGAAAGTTCTTCAGATCGCTACGGCGAAACATGGTTTCTTCTTGAGCTCCGGCACCCGCTTTCACACCACCACCAGGCGTGTGAGGGGAAGCCATGTTCAGTACTGCAACTCGATATTGACGCTCGACAAGCTCTCTCGCTTGCTCCAATAGATCACGTTGCAAGACCTGCACTTCAAGCGCGTCGCGTCTCTCCGATGCAGAGGCATCCTCGTCCACCAGAGTCTGAGACCCATCGCTCGAGACACACTCTGTCTGATCAAAATGAGGTGTTTTTCCGATCCACTTCTCAGTTTGCCCCCAGATCACCTGTCGCAAGCGTCGGATCTCCCACATGTCCGGCCGATCGGTGCCATCACCAGCCTTCCGGAAGAGCTCGAGCCACTGACGGGGATTGTGATCCTGAGGACGTGGACGTTGAGCGTAAAACAATCGGGGCGGCTGCGAAGCGCCGCAGGGCGGAAGCGCCGGCGGTGCTTCGGCAGTTGAAGCGCCAGAGGCGTCAACGTCCATGGCTGGATCGTGTCTGGCATGGCGGTGCAAAACAAAATAAGTACAATTGCAGTGTTATAATTATTTGATCAATTATTTATGTAATGTGTGTGTCACATGTCTGTGATTGTCTGTGTATACTTTGGCAAAAAGGAAGCGCAGGCGAATGTGTTTCATTATTTTTCCATTTATGCGTATCTGTGTGGAAGAAAAGGAAACTGTAAAGAACTGCATAAATCACGTTTGACTTCTAGAACGTACGTGTGCCAACTGGCTGCCTAGAGTCCAGTGAGTGGGGGTTTGCTGCCCTTGAAGTCTCAATCAGCTGAGCCTACAGCTGGAGGCCCTTCAGCCAAACAGTCTGAAACGAAGAGATCGACCACGGCAACTCAGACACTGCTTCACACCTATCTTTACCGAGCAAAGACAGGTACTACAGGAGCACATTTCGATTCGACGAAGACACGACAGAACATGACCGTGCTTCACGTGTCCAGCAACAGATTGACAAGTAACAAATGTTGCCTTCAGAAGTACGTGCCCCACCTGAATTTGTTGCACGCAATGGTCCACCGACTCAGCTGTGGGGCATCGCACATAGCAAGTGTCTGCCTGACGTCCCCACCTGGCGCCCCACGAAAGCGTCGAAAGGTCTGGTCACATCGTGGAGTTGCTGAAGTACGTGTTTTGAATGTACGCCTATTAGCAAGGGGCAAAGAAGCTACGAACGGGGCTCCTGTCCTTACTACTAGGAGCAAGGACGCTACTAGGAGCAAAGGGCATTGCTACTAGTTACAAAAAGCTACTAGGGGCTCTATAGATTGCCAGGTAGGGTCTGAGGTACTGAAGATGCTGGTAGTAATTAGATGTAAAGCAAGTTCGCCTTGATTGAAGCGGCAAAAACATTGGAAAGTGAAATGAAAGTCTTGTTCGAAACTGCATGCAAAGAAGGCTTGTTTCAGAGATTCCAACAAATGACCAGGACTACAGAGCTTTATTCCATTCTGCTGGCAAAGCTTCTTGATCCTTGCTTGACTTACAGATTGATCTGCCCATCCTCATCCCCACCTCTTGAATCGGAAAACAATATCCCGAGGTTCCACCACCACATTACAATGCTGTTTGATCACGTACGCGATATCCTGGTGTCCACACCACGCGTTCGTTTCACCGAAAAGGGAAGCTCTCTCTCTCTCTCTCTCTGTCGGTCACTGGAGAATCCAACTGACTCTTACCTCAAAGTGTGTTCTTTCTGGTTAATGCTTTAAATAAATTCAAATGTATAACTTTATAACCCAAACAATGACGTTGCCCTTCACTGCTGAACCACCCTTTCTGGTCAAATGGCAAAGGCCCTTTGTCAGCTGGTGCGTTCTTTCGCTATGGCTGGATTGTTACTATGCCGGCGATGCCGCTATGCCATGCCTTATGTCTGATCCCACCAAACGACACTCAACGAGGCTCCAACTAGAGGAGCGAAACCCAACTCAACAAGTCCTTGCGTCCATAGTTGGAAGGAACCTCCGGGGCAGCCAGGTTCGGATGCCCGGGCCAAAAAATACGCTTAGAGTCTTTGGTACTTCTCTGGACATGATGTCTGCTTCATTTTCGTGGGGGCAACCAGCTCGTGAGCTTCTGCAGTGTGTGCCCAAAAATGAATATGATTTAACATCGTCTCAGTCGTTGCAGCCATCGTCCTGGCCTCCGTGATCGTCATGATCCTCAAGAAGTTCTCAGGAGCAGCCAGCCGTCTCAAATCCTCACCGACAGAAAATGGACGAGTCGCCTTTGTATAACGAAGGACAATCAAGTAGAACATTTCGCCATAATGTTGAATCTGTACTGATTAGAGCCCACACTTAGAACATTGTAAGCAGAAATAAACAGGAAAGCTAGCAAAACTCTTTGCTTTTCACACTCAGCCCTGCCCTGCCATACATTTAGAACATTGCAAGTAGAACAACATCCAAAGCTAACAAAAGTATTTTTGGTCATGGCCCATGCAAACCAGGATCCACTATAAAACGTGTATGTTACATAGATATTATTTGAGCCACCCACCACAAGCACCAAACAAGTTGTCTGCTGTTCGGACGGGCAATCCCTTGAACATTCTTATTGGGGCTTATTCGGTTTTTAAGTGCTTTGTTCTAAGCGTGGGTTGTGTGTTCTGAGTGTAGCTGTCCCGCTGTTCTAAGCCTTACACTTAGAACACCACTCAGAGAGGTGCTTTGAAAATTGAATACAAAAAACATTCCAAGTGACTGGTTCTCCATCCCTGTACAAAAGCTTGAGAACCAGGACCGACGAAAAAGCATGATAGATCTTCGCGGAGACATCAAATCTAAATCACAATGAAATCGTGCATCCCGCATGAACACAAAAATCTGAGGTAGAAAACAATATCTAACTTGTAGTTTACCAAAAATAGAGCTTGGAAAAAGAGACACGTTTTCCTCGCGGCCGACAGTCTTTTTGTCCGGCCAAGTCCTCACTGAGGTTCACCAGGCGCTCGCTCTGCTCCAGGAAGGCCTCGGGACGAAAAGCACCAAAAAAGGGCAAAGTAACAAGCAGTTGGGCTGTATGCTCCTCCTCAAAATGACACACACCCCACTGCAGTATCTATAAAACACACGCATTTTCAAGTAGATGGGATATGGACCGATTGCAAAGCAAGGGGGAAATGGTCCTGCATGTGAACATTCTCCGTGTTCAACAACACATACTTTCTATTGTATGCATGAGACATATGTCATCATATGTCATATGTCTACAATGAGCAACTGAGAGTGTAATAGGGAGACCCCGTAGGGGGTTTTGGATGATCTTTGTTTATTTTCATTCTTCCAGGAGGTCGAACGCCCCACCTACACACCCAACTGTGTCAACCGACGAGAGGCCGACACCCCGCCTCAATGTCCGACCGATCCATGGGTCGGTAGGAAGTGCCATATGGGAGCTCCTGCTGTTTCACAACACCGAACTTGCATGAGGGTGCCGATTGGATGTGCTTCGTTGGAAACCCGGGGTCATGAAAGAAGTAGAGATCTTCTGCCAAAGAAGATCAATGAGGTGAGGGTTTGCCATGTCATGTTGGTTGGAAACGCCTCAAGGGGGGGTGCCAGGAAAAAGGCATGGAACATGTGTTTAGAACGAAGTAGAAACAAACCGATGGCCCATGACCAAGTTCTGTATTGTTCGGCCCATCTGCAAAGTCTGCAAAGTCTCCAACAGTCTTTCAGTCTACAACAGTCTCCCAGTCTGCATGATCTCTGCAGTCTCATCCTGAACGATCTCAGGCACGTCTTTGGGATGGGCGATCAAGGCTCGCCCCATCGACCGTCCCAGCCGTGAACGCATCAGGAAGATCTTGTCACGCCTGGAGGACACCAGGGTCCGATCCCTGCCCCAGTCCCCAATCCTCGAGAGATCCACAAGACCGATGGCTTCAGTCAGATGGATTCAGTATGATTCAGTCATATGACATGTCTTTTGATCGGGAAAAAATGCATTTACTGAACTCTCAGGAAAGTTGGGCATCGTTTGATTGATGGAACATCCTGTTATGCCTGTCCATGGTGTGCTGGGAGCCCTGCCATTCGCTTCCAAGATCTTTACCGAAGCTACCCAAAGCATCCTTGATCTTCTCCTGACCCAACCAACCCGCGTGATCTTCGGAACACTCACGGCAAAGGCGCCTTGTTGGACAACAATGCACTCTACGACTCTCCAGAATTGAGGGAAACCCAGCTAATGGGACTTTATTATAGATCTACATGTTCCTTGCACAAGAGATCTTGGGGTGTCATGTTCCATATCTTGAGACCACAAGCTCTGATGACAGCTTATTAGTCCACGCCATCGCCCAACACAAAGCTGGACCCCGGCCCGTGGAGCGAAAGCAAACCCGGATAGTCACGCATCCGACTTTCACATCAAAGACCACCTTTCAGATCAATCAAAAACCCCCAACCCACTGGAAGCTTCTAGGTGGAGGCCATCGCTACTGGTAACTAGTTGCTACTAGTTGTGTCCACTGCTTTGGTCTGTGTCAGACCTGAGAGATGTTCGCAAAACGTCCTCACGCGCAACGCCAGCGGCGTCCAAAGTGCTCTAAGAACTCGCTGCCCTGCCTCGTTCCAGTCACGTGGTAGCCGCTCCAGCAAGAAGGCCTGCTAGAACGAGAGCAGAAAAAGAGCTTGATCACTGCTTGAATACTGCTTCCGGCAAGCTGAAGCTGAGGTGACCAACGGAAAAAAAAGAAAAATAAAAAACTTTAGTCTTCCATCTGACGAAAAATGGTGCACTCCTCACCGTTTTGGGCCTCAGTAGGGTTGCTCAGAACCGCAACTGCAGAAGGCGAGTCTCTTCTGTAAACAAGCTGAGACCACGGAGGATAAGCATGGCAATGGTACCGTTGTTCGTAGGGCACCAGTTTGATCCAAAGCAACAAACTGCTACCTATCTCTCGGTTCGGTCCTCCTGCTGCTCATTCAGGCTCACGTGCTCCTGGCGCTTGGGTTGCTCGGCAAAAGGAAACGATGTGGAAACAAAGCACGAAAATCGCGTCAGGCCCAATTTCTGAGGGACATGTGCAGCAAGATTCTGCTTCCTGTGGCTGACTTGGTCCGATTTCTTTTGTCTCTGCTCACTTGCCCCACCAAAGAAAGCAACAACCAGACCAAACATGCTTTAAAACTTGATCACAAAATCCAACGATGAGAGCTGCTGTCAGTCCTGCGATTTGCGGAGCGATGCAGGCACCGCCAGCCCTCTTCTTTGGATGGGAATCCTGGGGCGTCGCAACGAAACCTGCTTCATCCAAACGCAACGCTTCAGCCAATGCGACTTCGGCCCACGGCCCACAGCGCTTCGGCTTCACGGTAGGATTCGCTTCACGGTGCTCAGAAGTGCTCACAGGGTACGGCGACGAGGCCGGACTGAGACGTCGCACCGCTTCGCAGGAAAGCTGCGCCTGGACAGAGCTCAAGGGAGTTCCGTCACGCCGAACGAGGGAGTTCGTCCGAAACATTGGAAACATGTCTGCAGTAGCTGTTGTAGAGCTGAGACGAATCCCAGCAGTGCTATTGTTTCATGGGATTTGTATGTGTATGTACATATATATATATATACATGTATAATCTCAGAAGCTTTCTTGATTGCGTTCAGGACATGGTCCACTAGTGGTTATAGATCGAATATATGATTCTTCTGCTTAGAGGCTTAGAGTTTCAGCATCAAGGTTAGGGTTCCTCTTTGCTTGGAAACTCAAGCCTTTCGTTATCGGTTCCACAAACATTTGGCAATACGAGACGGGCTCAGACCTCAAGAGTGCAACATGGGCTGCAACACATTGACGCATATGACCTATTACTTATTGGTGCTGCACAGTGACAGCAGTGACAATCATGACCTGGGGCTACATGCTTGAAGAAATTGCTGTTTTCTGTAAAAGCATGTGCAAGCTGTTTGTGTTGGAAATGATAATGAAATATCGCACAGGTCGAGCATGAGGGTCCACTTGTCCAAGACGAGATTCTTGTCAGAAGATTGCAAGTGGTCCCGCGAATAGTGTGTATCTGAGGAGCTTGGTGTTGGATGATCATGCCAATGTCAATCTTTGTGCCAAAGCTGCGGATGTTCTTGTCACATTTGCTCTTGTCAACACTGAAATCACCCAGCACTAAGAACTCTCCGTCCCCATCTCTTTTTCAGGACTTCGCTGGGGTCTTGTTCTTGCGAGCCAGGTAACGCTCGCGAGCACCACCAACCTGCATCGGGCTTGAACCTCTTGCTGACTTGCTGGGCCATCTTGAAAAAAGGCTTCTCGTCAAAGCGGATCTTTACATGGGGTCTCTACTCAGGTCCCTGCTCGGGTACTACAGGGTACAACAGCATTCTGGCTGGAAATCACACCTTGATCCCCGTGTGTGAGACTGGCATGGTCCCTGTGCCACAAGCTCCAGCTCTTAACGTTTGGTAACGCGAGTCGAAGGATACCTGGCTCTCGACCCTCTTCACAAATGTGATTGCTTACTTTAAAGGCACAGGAGGACGGGGCCTTTGGTTGCGTGATCCGTCACAAGGGATCCCACACATTGATGATTCCCTCAACCTGTCACTGATGACCTGATGTCGTTCTACCATGATGTCATTCGCCACAAACAACCCTGTTCTGTCCCGCTCGGCAAACATTGCTCGCCTTCTCTGCCCTGTCCTTGGCCACCTCCTCAGCACCCTGTCACCACCAAGAAAATCCTACCCTTGGGCCCTTGGCGTCATCCTTCCCAGTCGCAAACCCTCAAGCCGATTTAATGGTTAAACCACACTTTCAACTTTCTTTTAAAACCTACATGCTTAAGACAAACAACAAGTCACACAAGCCTTCCATGGTTTCCGTGCTAAATCCTACCCTGATGATGGCTTGCAACGTCAGACAACACGTTTACCACATGTCACGCCTTCTTCACTTCAGCCTGTGCCACAGGCTCTTGAAGTCTTGCTAGCACACTCAAGCTAGTCAATCAGGAAAGCCTAACCAAATGAGTCAAAGCACAGCAACTGCCTACATACCTCATACCTCCGCACATACACCGAAGAGTGAAGGGCGCATGTACTGCGCATGTCATTTCTGGATCAGCTCCACTTCTGGACCCACCAGCCGTCTCGACGCCCACCTCGGGTGCTTGCTTCGAGACCTTGGCCAAGCCAACCTGAGCGCGAAACGCCAAGGACGGCAAGACGCGTTCGTTCCAACGCCCATCCCGGTGACGTTCGTTACGTTCGTTTCGGGTGGTCTTGGCATGTCTTAATAATGACCGGTACGAGTCGTACGGAGTTGGTTTCTCGGATGCCGAAGAAAAGGGAGGAAACTCTGTGTGCGACGCGGATCAAAGAAAGAGCCAAAAACAACTTGCACATGGCATGCAACTGGAGTCTTCACGTTGCAGTCTTCAACCAGCCGAGTTCACTTCCATGCAACATCTTTGAAACAGCAGAGCTTCCTTTGAGGCGAAGCTCACCCTCCCCATCGATCCAACTGAGGAAAACCCTCCCCATCGATCCAACTGAGGCATGCGCCAAACGCTTCATGTCCACCTCTCCGAGCTTCGGAAGCAATGGCCTAACTGTTTGCGGCATGCGGCCCCGGTCGGGGCCCGTGGCGGCGGCCCGGTGGCGGGCAGTCCCTGGAAGTCCAAGTGGAAACATCAGACCCTTGGCAGTGAATCCACCCTTGGAGATCGGGAAATGTCTTCAAGATTTTGCAAGAATCTGCACCTTGAGAAGACTAACTTCTGAGGAAGATCCAGATTGACAGACGGATCGGCTAACCTTCAGCACCCGAGAGGCTGAAGCCACTTGTGATCCATAGCTGACACAGTTCCTCGGCGGAAAAAACCGGTCAAATGCTGCACAGTTCTTTTGGGATTGTTTTAATGGATGTGGGATCGCATCAGGTGATTGACCGGCATCCAGATTCAAAAAACCAGACAAGATCAGAAGAATCTGGCACAGGATCAACAAAAAACAATGAAAATATCAAAAACATAAGGCTGAATCCTGAGTAGATCCCTTGGTCCATTGGTCCCCTGGTCCCCATGGTCCTTTTCCTGGTCCGCTGGCCTCGTGGTTCATCGGTCAAAAAGCGCATTGGTCAAAATTCGCGAGATGTGCGACATTCATATTATTTGCGAATTGGCACGAACTGGAGCTAGATTGCGAACTGGAGCTAGTTATTCTTGCTATGGAAGCTCGTGTCATTTTCTGGATGCCCTTCATTGATGGGGAAAATGGGGTGTGTAGCTCTATTTTGTGGTGCCTTCTGAGTCACCAACCCTGGGGGGAGGCGCAGCACCACATAATCTACACTACTTTTGCCAATGCACTGGGCTTGCCACGAAAGCATGCTTTACAGGTCACCCATCGCATCTCCACACCAAATCTGGCATGCCCTCGTCCAACTCGTCTAAGTCTCTTTAATTATGTGTTGCGTCCACGGCTTTTCATTGTCCTCTGGTGGATGATAGATAGGGTCAGGGCCCACCTTTGCTGTGTCCAACATTTCTATCATTGAGTTCTCTTTTGTTTTTCTTGGTGGGTTTGTTTTTGGTTGTATAGTGGATGTTCTCTATTATCCTTTCTTTCGTTCTCTTTTGGATTTTGTCTCTTGGTTTGCTCTGCGGCGAACGCCTGCCTGAGCCTTGAAAGTCTCGCTGCAAGCTCTGTGTATGTGTGTGTGTGTGTGTGTCCTGCCCGCCTCGTTTTTCTTTTAGTGACCTCCTTCGGCGCCTTCAGTCCTTCGACTATATTTATGTTGATGCCAGTTCATGCTATTCTATATTACTTGTTTGATCCCTCACCCAGTCCATGACACATTGGTGGGCAAGAGACAGGAAGCTGCTCAATTCTTATCCGTCATCCGTCCATTCTTATCCGGTCCAGGCACGCATCATGCAATTGGCCACAGTGCTTCCAACGAGGTCAGTATAAAGGACCCACCTTGGCAGCGTTCGCCCAGCGCCCGTCACCTACCCACTGGCTTGCTGTTCCGAATGGCCCACCACATACATTGCGCTGGACAGTTCTTTTTGGCCCTAGAGATCCAGGTGGTTCAGTTTTGGCATCACTGATGCTCTAATCCAAATCCATATCCGAAGACCGAACCCTGCACGAAAGATTCACCGACTTCCTAAGGATCTTCGGCCACCGGAGAGAGCTCGCTCGGCCGGACTCTCTCGGAGCACCGATTCCCCCATCTTCACTGACTCATCGACGCGCGTCTCGCTGGCACCGAGGCGCTCCGCAGATGACCCGTCCATGGCGCTGGACGATTCGCACTTCACCAAGACGTTCTCGCCTTTTTGGGGCGACTCATCTTCAGCCGCGAGAAGGCACAACTGCCCAAAGCATTTGAGCAAGGCAATCATTCTGACTCACTGGTTGTTCACTAGTTGTTCAGGTGCTGGCCCAAAAGAAATGGGTCTTTCATAAGTACAATGCTTCACAGCATGAACCACAAAAGTCACATTGTTGTATCCCAGCACTGCTGCTGAATACCGCTGCTATACCCAAGCGTATGTTCCAAGACCAAAGACATCACCAGCTGTGTACCGCTGCCAGCACCTGCTGTTAACAGACCTGCTAAGCGACCTGTTGTATGCTATACCCAAACCGTAAGTATGTTCCAACCACCACGGACCTGCCACGCGACGCCTATACCCCTCCACCCTTCCTTCTCCTCGCGCTCCGCGGACCTACGATGAGCCAACCGCCAGCAGCACCACAGGCCCGAGCGCTTTGCATGTAGAAGCCTGAACCTGTGAGGGTTGGGTCTTGGCTGTCCGTTGGAGATGTCCTAAGTATACCGCCAGACACGTTTGATATGTCCTAAGCATATAAGGGTGTATACTGTATATTATGATCATAAAGTCAAAGGAAACGAACGCACTTCAGGAAGCTCAAGATTATGTTGACGCATCCCATGTTCAAGGAATATCGGAGTTTCTCTTCAAGCGAAAGGGAGGGGAGCGAAGATAGCAAGCAATGTATAAAACAGTTCATAAAATGCTACGTGAATCCAAGCTGATGTTTGCCATGTTCCAGCACAAACGCGCAAAAACAAGCATTGCTGCAAGCAACAGCAGGGCAAGCATTCTACTTGACAGGTTGTGAGTTAACCTGCGGTGCAAGGATGTACAAGATATGCAGCATGCAATGTTGGGCAGCGACATTTGGATCGAATCCAACAACGAATGCAATGTCCTCGCATGCAGCGAACGCATTTCATGAGCAGGCGAAGCAAGTAAATCAACATCAAATAAGCATCAAACAAAAGATCCGCTCCCATGTCTCTATATATATATATATATGGATTGTTTTTGCGACAGCGCAATACAGTTCCCTGTTTGTATGGCGGTATGTGCACACACTAGCCTTGGACTTTATCTCGCTCTCCCAGAGTTGTGGTGTTTATGTGTCACACCATTCACAGAGCTGCCCACGCACATCCCTGCTTCAAATCCTGTTCTTTCCCGAATCTTGCCACAAAACCGTGCATAAGAACGGGTGAAGCGTGAACAAAAGAAAACCCAAAGCAACGTAAACGCCAAGGCATTTCCTCGGTGCCGTCTAAACGCTGGTGTGAAACGGGCCGTTTCTGAGGCACCAGCAAAGCGATTGCAGCAGGGCCTGGCAGAGTTGTGCAACATGGTGTCAAGTAGTCTAGTGTGGAAAAGAAACCATTTGTCCGTCTTGCTCTTTTTTGGGGGGGTAGGCCTAGGTAGCTAGCAGAAGCTAGGTTGCTAGTAGCTTGCTTAAGCTACTAGCATGGATGCAGGATAGCTCACGCTTCTATTCATTTGGTTCCTATATATTTTTTGTTGGGAAACTTAAAGGTGAACGTTCGTGTTTTGGTTTTTATGACCAAACAGCAAAGAGGCCGTAAGAATCGGTCCGCCAGTAAACATGTGGTATACAGACTCCCTGCCAGACCCACGGTCACATAACTAGAGGCTAAAGGAACAGAGCTTGACACCGCAGTCTTTGAAACTATGCCTCCTCTGCACCAATGCTGCTGCCTAAGCGCAATGCCCAGAGTCAGCTGCTCAGTATCATGCAAGCAACACTGATACGAGTTGCACTAGTCAAAAACCATTGAGGAGGAAAGGACGCTACTAGGGGCTCCTGGCATTGCTACTAGGAGAAAAGGACGTTACTAGCGGCTCCTGGCCATACTACTAGTAACAAGAAGCTATTAGAGAATTAGAATTAGAATTAAGATTATAAGATCTAATGTTCAACGAAGTGCGAGCTCACCCAAGAATCGACTCTGCATGACGAAGCCACCTCTGTCACGGTCACGCCGCCGGTCTCGGTCATCCCGTTCCCGCTTCTGAACGGCTTTGCGGACAGATGCCTGCGATTGGAAGGCTTGGAAGGTTGGAATCGTGCTGGTGGAACATGGTGCACCTACTTTTCAGATGCCACGCTATGGACTCATGAAGTTCAGCCTTACGAAGGTGCAGTCCAACGTGCCAAGACGCTTCCGATGGGCAACGTCCCCAGAAAGAATCTGGGAATATATCTAAGATTTCAACAGTTGAACCATGAACCAACCCAAAATGCCAACATCGTAAACAGAAATACAACCTTCACAAAACCTCGTAGTGAACCACTTCACCACCTTCTCGACCCAGCGACAGACAGAGGAGCACCTCAGAAACCTTCTCCAGCTGCTCATAGAGCTGCCCTCGAATGTCCCTGGCCTGGCAGACATGGTCGAGACCAAGTCAAGGAGTGACTTCACCTAGCGATGGTCCCCAACCTACTAGTGACGGTCTCCACCCTAGTAGCAATGGTCTCCACCCTAGTAGCAATGGTCTCCAACCTACTAGCGATGGCCTCCAACCCAAGAGCGATGGCCTCCAACCTACTAGCGATGGCCTCCACCCTAGTCGCGATGGCCTCCAACCCAAGAGCGATGGCCCAAATGGCCTCCAACCTACCTCCAACCCACTAGCGATGGCCTCCAACCTACTAGTGACGGCGTTGGCCTCCAACATACCAGCGAAGAAGACATCGTCAAGGGGTGACTTCACAAAGCAACACCTCTCAATCGTTCCACTCGCCTGCCGCAGTGCCCGAAAGTGAAGAAAGTTGGCCTTGCACCACTCCTGGAAGGCTGCGCTGCAGTGTACATTGTTGGAATCGGTGCAAATGTGCTCGGTGCAGTCCATGAGTTCCGACTCCCCGCAACCCCAAGCTGGCACGTAAAAAAATGTAAAGAAAAGGAAAACAGGTGTTCTGGATTGGGTAAGAAAGCCCCACATTTGAAGGCTTTCTGACTTACTGCGGCATCTTTTCGGGATTGATTAACTAACATGAACTAACAAATGACCCTTGGAATTGCTGCTTGGAATCGATTGTCGATAGAATTTCAGGAACTAAAAGGAATTTGAGTTTCCAAAAGGAAATCAAAAGCTATCAAATGAACCTAAAGGGAAATCAAATTCATAAATAGAAGGAAATGAAATAAAGGGAAATCTTTAAAAAAGGGAAATCATATTAGTCCCTGGTGGGAAGTGATTGGAATAGAATCTCTAGGATTGGGGGCTGGGGGCCTGGTGACAGCCAATCAGCCCCAAAAAACCGCATGTGCTGTGCCAGCGAGGCTCCGGACTGCATCCTTCTTCTTCCCACATGTTATAGACCCGAATCAAGGTCAAGTGATCTCCGAGGCGATGAACAAAACGCTCCTCGCGACAAACGCAACCAACGAGCCTCGGCGTTCTAATCGCTCGGCTCTCCTCCGCTTGGAAGGAACCGGGTTATTACAGTATCTACATCGCTGAAGCAAGTCGACTGCTTCAACAAAGTTGTTCTGACAAGTGGAAGATCTGTGTATGTGAAACCGAAACTGCTGGGCATGTTGTGAGTTGGGATGCAACGCTGTAGAAGTTTGCCCTGGGCAACCAGCCACCAGGCCACTGCCACCGCATTTGTTTGTTCACCCCTCGCAAGGTCAAGGCATTCAAACCTGTTGATGCCAGCATCCAGAAGCAGCAATTCTACATTCAAAGAATAAGAAGTACTTGAGAGTAGATGCTGCTTTTTGAATGATGAGCGGTTGGTGTCATGGTCGGAACAGAATTGTTTTTTCCAGAAGCTGAGGCACAAAGACAGACTGGGAGGGGAGATGTTTTAAGCCTTTTCCTTTCTTTTCTCCTGAGCCATCCACCGCCGCCCGGAGCGAGGCGCTCCTGAGTCGCTTGAGCCTCTTCCCATTGGTCCGCATTCTGCCGCGAAGGACGAAACCAAATGCCCTCGGAGCTCAGCATGGAAACCAAGGTCCTCACTTGGTCAAAGAGAAAAGGCAAGTCATCAACTGCTTGGACCATCCCCCCATGGGAAAAACCATTCCCAAGCAGGGATGGAAACCTATTCCAAGCCACTACCAGAAAAGCCTTCCTAAAGCGCATGACCCAAAATATATAGGCATCTTATCTTGCCAACCCTACGTCCCATCAAATGTGTGCCCCCTTTAAGATGGTACAGCCTGATTTAGATGGGGAGTCAATATTGAAGTGCAGGAGTTCCAAGTTTCGGCCAAGTTTCAGAGCCTCCGAGACACAACCCAAGTCAACTGCAGAGAGCAAAACCCGTCCATACTGAGGCTCCAGTGGCAGCTGGGAGATCCTCTCTCCTGGTTTCTCGCTCCATGGGCCAAAGAGTATCACAGAAAACACTTGAGGCCGAGGGTAGGTGACGAAAGCTAGCAGGGATGCATCCGTGTCAGTGGAGGCGAAGCATACAGCGCCGTCCAGTGACAAAGGACTGGTGGGACATCAAGCGGAGTGAGGCAAATCTTTTTTCATAGGCATGGGGCTGTTGGAGGGATGGTTCACAAGGTCTCGCTCATGAGGTAAAACGTTGTGAACATGTAAGACACGCGAACAGCAATGACACAGCCGACCTTAGCTTGTGAATCTGTTGAATCTGTTGTATCGTATCCCAAAACCAATGTGGATGCCATAAGAGGTGTCCAAGAGGTGTCGCAGAGGCGTTTGAGAGGGGAGTTGAACCCGCCCGGGGGGGGGGGCCCTCTACATATGAAGTGTTCACGTGATGCGGCGATCTCGAGGATTCCAGCCCCTCACTTGCTAAAGCAAGGACAACTCCAGCTAGCTGGTGCTAGCTTTCGTGATTAGCACCAATCAGCGGCCAATAGAAGACCAAAGAACTGCATCCTGGTGGGCCCTCAGACATCATAGACCTATCTCCAGTACCAGGGAGACCTGTTTGTTCTTTTGACACGCAACAATTCCCTTGCACGTCATGTGCAAACACCGAGAGGCCTAGGCTCGTGAGCTTGCCGTCCGCGTCCAGCGCTCCGATCAAGAAGAGGAGCCGCAGGGACTTCACCAAGCGGACACGATCCGGAGGCTCCATGAAATCGAAGTTCACCACATCCTGTGCGCTATTAGGTTGGAGGCCGTCGCTAGTAGGTTGGAGGCCATCGCTTCTAAGGTAGGAGGCCATCGGTTTTAGTATGGAGGCCATCGCCATTAGGTTGGAGGCCATTGCTGTCGTCCCCTCCCTCTGTCTCGCATGGAAGATCGGGATAACTGTCTCGCATGTGTCCATAGTCCTTAGACTGTTTCTGTGAAGTGAGGCCTAAACAAAAACTGCATGTATATTTATTTTGAGCTCATGGATTTGACTTGACTTGTCTTCACAATCTTGACAAGAGCTCATTAACAAGCTCATCATGTCCTCTTGACCTGCACCATGAAACCAACTGGTGACTGTAAACATGGAACCTTTCATTGCTGCTCCCTTCGGCTCCTCAATTCCCATGGCCTTCATCTGAAGAGAGACCGATGCCAAATTGGATCGCAAGATCTCCGGCACCGTGATCTTCAAAAGAGACCGATGGAAGGTCTCTTCGGAGTACAAGCGAAAGCACTTGCCATGCTGCGTTCGACCGGCCCGGCCGGCGCGTTGCTTCGCTTGCACCTGGGAGACTTCGGTCACCTGGAGGGACTCCATCCCCGTTGTGGGGTTGAAGAACTTCTGCTTGCAGTAACCGCAGTCGACCACAAAGCCAACACCAGCGACGGTCAAAGAGGTCTCGGCAATGTTCGTGGAGAAGACCAACTTCCGACATCCTTCCGGCACTTCTTCGAACACATTGCGCTGATCGTCTGACTGCATCATCCCATAGAGAGGCACGATCAAACAATCAGAGACCTCCTTGCCACTCTCAACCATGTTTTGCAGCTTTGTGTTCGCGAGATTGACTGCCTGCTCACATTCCTCCATCCCAGTCAGAAAGACCAGAATGTGGCCCGGCCCCTCGCGAACATGCAAATTCAACGCCACATTCACCGCAGCCTCCACTCTTTGTGTCTTGGACACCGGGTGGTAGTGCAGGTCCACTGTGAAGCTTCGCCCCGGCACTTCCAGCACTGGGCAGTCAAAGTACTCAGAGAAAGCACCTGGATGGGAGGACAGCACTGAGGGGCAGGCGGGGATTCTGCCCCGTTCTGTGGAAGTTTGGAAAAGTGCCCATCGTCAAGCAAATAGGATGTCGATCATACACTTTTTACATCTTGAACCATACCCCATCAAAAATCCCCAAGAGGCATCTCATATATCAAACTTTACAAGTTCATGCGCAGAACCCTGCACCCTTTCTTTCCTTTTTCTTGGGCAGCAAGACCAAAACGGTTTCATCGTTTTCATCCCATCGCATCGCACCCGTGTCCAGCGTCGCCGAGGTCACCAGCATCCGCAGCTGCCCGTTGCGGCTCTTCACCGCGCGCTTCATCAGCGCAAAGAGCACGTCCGTGTGCAACGAGCGCTCGTGGGCCTCGTCCAGGATCACAATTCTCAATTTCAAAGAAAACAATTCTAGACTAGACTATAGCCATATGGCCTCCAACCTACAAGCGATGGCCTCCATCCTAATAGCAATATGGCCTCCAACCTAGAAGCGATGGCCTCCATCCTAATAGCGATGAACAGGCCTCGTCCAGGATCACCACATCGTAGTTGGCCAAGTTGGGATCCCCCAGGCACTCACGTAACAAGCAGCCATCGGTCATGTAGCGCAGTCGGGTACTGGCGCCTGGCATCGGGTACAGGCGCTTTATGAGTAAGTTATAAACGTGCAAAGCTCTGAATCTGTGCACTACACAAAAAGAACAAAAACCTCATATGAGTGGAACGACATTGTTTGGTGCTTCTCCTGCCTGACTTGTCTTCGAAGCGAATACAATAGCCAACCACATCACCCAGTCTCGTTCCGCGCTCATCGGAGACCCGCCGCGCCATCGCCACGGCCGCGACACGTCGAGGCTGGGTGATGGCCACTCGCAGGCCACGTTTGTTCTCAAAGAGGCATTGGAATCGTTCGGAATCCAGCAAATATTGGGGGATCTGGGTCGTCTTGCCTGACCCCGTCTCTCCCACAACAACGATGATCCGATTCTCCACCAACATGTCAATGATATTCTCGCGATAGGCCAAAACAGGCAAATCTTCTGGCGCTTGTACGCGCGGAGCACCTCTTGTTGAGGCAACTTTTTGTTCCCCTGCGGCTTCTTTGTCCGACTTTTGTGCAGAAGATTTCGACCTTGATCTGGACCTTGACCTCTTTGAACGTCCATTGGAGGTCTTGCCGTTTGGCTTGGTATCACCCGGCATTGCATGCAAAGCGCTCAATTCAAACTTCCCACAAGGTTCTCACTGCAGGTTTCGCGATTTCTCGCTCCGTCTGGTGCCTGTCTTGGTTTTCTGGCTTCTTTTGAAGAAACAAACCTGCTGGCTCTTGCAAGTGATTCTATAATATATATATATATTAGATTATATTAGATTAGATTACACAAATGAACACTTGAATGAATTTTACTCGTGCTGCTACATGATATCCTGGGTACCACTGCATCAAAACTGCTTGCGTGTCATCATCAGCCCTTAAATATTCTACAAGCTGCAGCAGACAAGCCCGATTCTGTATGGAGAATAATGACTCTTGCTTGTCCATGGTGCTTTCAAGCATGTGGTGTCTTGCCCTCGGCATGCTTTCCAGGGCAACCTGATTGCAGTCTTCCTAGCACTGTCACACTACCATTGACGTCAGTTGACCTGCTCCTTGTGACGTGACAAGCAGCGGCAATGACCGACGGATGCACAAACCTGAAACGGCCAGAACTCGAACGGCCGCCAGTGTGATCGAGCGACCCTCCTCGTGTGATCGAGCGTGCCCAAAAAAACTCTACGTTCGCCCTTCTCCGGCGCTCTTTTCGGGTGCGAAGATCACGTGTCAGCTCAGCTCACCTCAGGCCGCAAAACAAGAAGTCTTTGAAAAGAGTGCCAAATGGCTATGGACCTCAATGCCTATCGAACAGAGCTTCCACGGCTGTTTTACTAGTCGGACAACTAGCCAGTTCCGCACATGGTCTCTCTGCATGGGCGTCTGACAAAGGTGCACCAGCTAGTCTGCCACAAGGGCAATCGCAGTCTCATCATCTCCAAGTCACTCATCATCACCGGTCTCCAAAGGCATGACTCCTTCTCTGGACAGGATCCAAAGAATTGACCGTCGACCTCACTCGCGTCGATCCACAGCGAGCGTCCCATTTCTGTCAGAGAGATGTCTTCCGACAGGATCCAGCCAGCACAGATCATGAAAAGAAGAGATACCTACTAGACTTTCGAGACCTTATTTTGGAGTGCACAATAAATCCTGTTCTTCAAACACTATATACAGTAGTTGTAGTCAAGAAGTTGGAATTTGCAAAAGAAAGGAATCCTCAATGAGCCATGCCACAATGCGAAAAAAGGACCTGAATCATGAATCATGCTGGATTCTGGATAGTGATTCACCTAAGGAGCCATTGGAATCCTCAACAAAAAACAGATTGAGACTTGATTCAGATCCCTCATCCTTCAAGACTGACCAGTGGCACCAAGGATTCATAAACCTTCGGGTTTCACGTTCCATCGATCGTCTGGCCCGGCTCGGTTCGTTCTCGCACCTCCGCGGCTGAAGAACTCGATACGAACCTCGCGGCCTTCAGGAGCCTGGATCACCTGAGCAGCGAAGCAAGGGTGAGGGCTTGTAAGCCCCTATTACCTACTGGACGCTGGAGAGCTCACGCTTCTTTTCGTTTGGTTCCTAGATTCATGTCCAAACAAGAAAAAGCAGGACCGGGCACCACCGGAGGTACAGCAAGGACAAGAGGAGGAGAGAGAGGTCATCATAATCATCATCATCATCATCATCATCATCATCATCATCATCATCTGCATCATCTGGATTCAACACCGTTGTGGTTGGTTGAGCTACCTCAGTCACAAAAAGTGTTCACCGTTGATGATTGCAACAAATTTGCCTGAACTATCCAATTCCCCAACCCGATATAAAGCGTGTTGCAATCTCAACGTGGGGTGATTATGATCTTTGAGTGAAAGAAAAGCTTGACAGTACTGTCTCATAGGATTTGCGAGGAAAAAAAGTAAACTATAATATATATATATATAGATACATATACATTCACGATCACTTGGCTCTATGGCAACGCACAACCCAATTGAGACGCCCTTGGGCTCTGGCCCACTTGTTCTTCAACGTCGCATGTGGCCCCACGATGGGAGCACCCTGCCGCAGCGGTAACTCTTGGTGCCGGCATTACTTTTCGGACGCTCAGAGTCATGTGCAAAAGAGGACCGTTCCCTCAGGATGCCTATGTATAACTGGAGTAAGTAGGGGACTTGTGGTTCATCATCACTAAAACCATCATCAGCTCCTTTCCTTCTGTCTGTCTGCCTGCCTGCCTGGCTGCCTGCCTCCCTCTCTCTCCTTCTTTCCTTCTCTCCTTCTCTCTCTCTCTCTCTACCAATTTCACTTCTCTACAGCTTCCCGAAAATGCCAAAAAGCCCCAAAACCGCCCAAATGGATTCCAATGGACTCCCATGTCTCTCCTGGCCTTCCGGGTGCAATCATCCGTCTCAGGACCTCAGTGACCGAGCCCCAGAATCGCCGGAGACCGGGCAGGTCGGGGTCGAATTGCCCCCCCTCCTTCCGAGACGAAGCCACGGAAAAGCCGGCGGTTTCATTTGATTTCTGGGTCCAATTCTACTTCAAAAGCAAGTCTGAGATCCTTTGGGAGAACACGGATGAGCTCCTTGGTGGCTCTTGATCCATCATGAATCATGACCTGGAAAACGAAAACAATCATGAATCATGACCCATCATGACCTTGATCCATCATGAATCAAGTTAAAAACAAAACATGTTCGATGATCTCACCAGTGAGCTCAACTGAGACTTTGACCAACGACTTGCTTCGCATCTCCTCCCTTGAGCAGGTGGAAATGAAGCTCACCGCCCGGAGGCACCTGATATCGGCAACAGGTGTACTTTGTTTTCTTGGCCTGGGAAACTCACTGTCATTGCGTATCCACCCAACAAAACAGGATGTCTCAGATGGCAGAAATGTCTCAGGTGTCCGTGAATATGTTCCATGGGTTTCCTTTCGAGTCTGATCTAACACCCCTGAAGTCGGACCGCCTGGAGGCTGGTTCGATGCACACCAGGGACTTCACCGTCCTCCATGGGGATGGCCTCCGGAACTCGGCCGAGTCCAAACGGACTGGACGGGCGGAGCGTGACTTGGGATGCGTTTGGACTTGGGCAGTTGGGATCCAAATCAGGTGGGATAGGATGGGGTGGAAGGCCACAACAAGATTGTGTAGTGCCTGAAGGCTAGGTCAGCATAGACCAGAAGTCTCAAAGTCTCTGTGCATCAAGAGCTGGTATACCAAGGCAAGTCAACAGTGGGTCTAGAATTTAATCACCTGCCTCTTCCGCATCCCAGTTGTTAAAGTTCCCGGTGATGGCCTTAGCGCGGTGCAATTATCTCTGCAACTTCAAGTGTTTCAGAAGTGGCAAAAAAGCTAAGCTGCAAACAAAAGTTGCCTCAGCATCATCTACTTCAATCTCCCGACGTTCATCCACCATATCCCACCTGCCACGAGGACATCAATGTTCAGTGCAAGACGATAAAGCCAAGCATGCGCACAGAACAAGCTTTACAGCCAGCACCTGTGGATAAAAACAACCCATTGGTTGGGGCCTCTTTATTCAAATCCACAGTACGCACCCAAATGTTCAAGTTGTAAACGATCAAAGTGTCGAAACAAAGGTCCCACGTGATGTGAGTTGCTCGGCTAAGAAAAAGAAGGCACCTCAAGGGCTCATTGCCCTCATCAGGACCCATGCTGAGGCTAAACCTCAGGAGACAAGTCGACTGGGTCGTGCGACTGAGTCTGTGACCTCGGAAACTCACACTACTGCTATAAAGGTCTGTGTCAGCAGAAGCTGAATTTCTTCTTTTTGGATCGTCTTTTCCCACTGACTCCAAGAAATTCTCAGATTCCAGTCCGTGGCGTGTTTCTTGCGGGTCCCTTGGACATTCCACTCATATGGACACTGAGGATTCAGCTTGGCACCTTTGCGAAGCAATCGAGTGTCCGGAAAATCTGCCTCCCACTTGTCGTAATCCAATCCTCGGGAGGATTGGGTTGTCGGGGGGGGGATGAGGTGTTCGTTGGTAATGGCGTGGGGGGATTTGATGGCAAGGTGGGTCTTTCCGGCGATAGACTTTTGCAGCTATGGACAAAATGGAAAAGCTGATGAATCGTTGTTCGCTGGAGTGGAATCCGGAGCGTTGTCCTCTTCACCGTTGAAGTGTGTCCTCTTTTGGAGGATGACGCTGGAAAATGTGTCTGAATCTAGGCGTTTCATACTCTACTCACACACTACTCACACGTGAAGTTGGCCTTTGGCCTGGCGAAATGGACTGAAACACCCGGGGAACATCTGGCACGTCAGACAACACCGCCAACACCGCGCTTCGGACTTTCCGGACCTCTGGGATGCCAACCCATGGGTCGCACTTCTGGAGGTGGTCTTGACAAGAGCTTCTTCATCCAGACCCGCTCCACATCCTCACCAACGTGAGGAAGAAGAAGGAAGGAAGGAAGGAAGGAAGGAAGGAAGCTGGAAGGAACAAACGAACGATGGCCTGCTGTTTAGTCGTAGATCCGTGCTTCCGGGAATACGATCGCTTTCGCTTGCAATCACATCTGAGACCAGTTTTAACCAGTTGGAGGGTCTGCAGCTGCACTGTGACCAGCCGCCGTCCTCCTTGATGCTGATGTTCTGGCCCCAGAAAATGCCATGGGCATTGGTTCCTCCGAATCCAAACGAGGACACTTGGGAGTTGCCCTGGTTCGTGGCCTGGGCACAGGCGAGCCACAAGGGCGCACGCGCACACACGCTCAGCTCGGCGCAGCTTGGCGGATGGAACATGGTTCAAGCCCAGCTCGGCGTCCCAACGAAGGCCATGGGCTCGGTCTCAAAGTGCGCTTCAAACATGGCATGCTCCAAGTGAGGGTTCAAGGTTCTCAAGTGCCTGCCGCAGGGCCGCCGGGTGCGAAAAAAAAAAAAAAAAAAAAACACAAAAACCGCAAAGACAAAGCATGCTAGCCCAAGGCTTTCACAGAAAAACAACCCAAGCTTGTGCACTCAGAAACCAAGTTTATGAGACAGGTCGGGGACAAGAGCCAGGGAGATTCCAAAAGCTAAAGCATCAAACGCTGCTGGTGCGGCTGCGTCGGACAGCACTTTGCTTGTCGACCTCAGTGCCGGTTGATGGCAAGGTGGAACATGCCTTGAGGTCAAAGGCTTAACCTACCAAACCATACCTAAAGAGCTTGCATCATTCGTGATGGCCACCAAGTTGCAGCAAACTTGTTTGACTTCAAAGTCAGGCAAACTCAAGGAATGGGCTGCGCCCAAACATTCCAACATCGCCAAGCTGTTTCGCCAAGGCACACTGCATGATGCACTTTACAATGCCGCCCATGGCCTGTGCAGGCTCGGCTGAGCAGTCAATCGGCCAAGCCAATCTGTCATCCACCATCTGAGTGATTTGAGAGGTTGAAATCTGTGAAGAACAACAAAGGTACTTTCGCCGCCATGGGCCATGGCCATCCCCGCGAATCATCCGAATCCAGTTCCGCGATTCTCTGAGGCCCCGGGCAGCGCCACCCTCCAAATGCCCGATGTTGGTCTTGGCGGAACCCATCATCAGCCTTTGGACACCCAGTCTGATGTGCCAAGGCTGACAGGATCCGCCAGTTTCATGTCCCCCCAAGGCTGATGGCTGCTATTACACACTGGATCCAACCAGTCTGTCCAGATTCCTGTCATCAAACATGCAGGTGTTGCGGCTCTGTACGTGGCTTTCGGATTTGCACTTTCCGGACTGCTCCAACCTGCACAAAAAAAGAAGGTGACAGGCACAGAACTGGCATTGATTTGAGTCGATTGGACAGTGATTACGATTACGGTTGGCTTGACAGAAAATAGAAATCTCTCAAAACCACCTGCTTCTCATGCTTGCTCGGGCCTCAATGGGGTCACCCAAGGAAGTGCCGGTTCCATGGCACTCCCAGGCCTTGGCACAACTCGAAAATTCGATGTCAACCTGCTCTGTTCAGAGTGTGTGTGTGTGTGTGTCCACTCCTGTTTCCAAGGACACTACCCTAACTCTTTCTAACCTACCCTATGACTTTTGTGACCAATGTACAGCAGCAGGGGGCCACTCCACCCACCACCAGGGAGTGGCCAACGAAGAGCCTGGTGGTGTGGTGCTGAAAACGTACCTGCCATTTTAGAATTGTTTCAATCGTTTCACTTGCATTCTTGTTCAACAATACTGTTACTCGGACCCAGCATTTTTTTCAGTCAAGGTCTAACCTGCAGTAATCTTAAAGGGCTAATGCTCACCGCGAAGCAGCCTGAAATCGCGCTCCACGGAGCAACCTACTCAAGTGTGTCTTCGCAGCTTCTTCCCACTGTGGTAAGCTGTGTGATCCCTGCGGGGCGCCGTTATTGCAAGAACCTTTCCACTCCTCATCGCAGGGGTAAGCTTCCTGAAGTTTTTCTGAAATTACTCTACTGAATTCCCCTGCTCGAAATTCCGCTTGAATTGTCTCACCCTGCACACGTGAAGTTTACTGCAGAGTTCACTGAAGTTCCTTCTGAAATGTACTGCAGAGTCAAACTGTAACTGTTTCACCCGGGAATCCTTTCCTTCCAATTTTTAAGTTCAATTTTAATTTCAAGATTTTAATTGAAGACAATTGCACACTCCTCCTCTTTGCAGCGACCTGTTATACAGCCTACAGTTTCACTCATTCAAGTTCAAGGACTGCTTTGGTTCACACGTTTATTTACACATACATCGACTTTATTCGACTTGCCGAGCAGCCATGACGTATCCCTGGCCGTATTCACTACCACCGCATCTACAGCAGCAACCACAGCGACACAAGCAGCATTCAGTTTCACAAGCAGCAACCACAGCGACACAAGCAGCAACCACAGCGACCTGTTATACAGCCTACAGTTTCACTCATTCAAGTTCAAGGACTGCTTTGATTCACACCTTTATTTACACATACATTGACTCTATTCGACTTGCCGAGCAGCCATGACGTATCCCTGGCCGTATTCACTACCACCACATCTACAGCAGCAACCACATCTACAGCAGCATCCGCAACAGCATCCACTTCACGCGACACAGCCAATACAATCCCATGTCCACACACATCCCACACTGCCACCTCAACCTCAACCTCATCAACCACATCAACCACATCCACCGCATACGACAAACCAATCACCACCCACACCATTACTACAACCACCACCTCCAACAACTGCTCCACCACATGCCACCAATCCAGCAGTGACCGCCATACCACAGCCTACCACACCGGCTCCACCACCACCACCACACACTCCAGCAGCCCCGCAGCACATTGCCATTTCCGCTTCAGCTCACCATACGCCACCACAACCACTACCGCAACCACAAGTGCCACAACTCACACCTCAGCCAACTGCACCACCAACTGCACCTCAGCGGGGAGTCACAGACTACACCTTTCAGGCTTACAGTCACGCCACCACACTTTACGAAGATACACGTTCCCACAGCACCCAGCACCAGCCACAGCACAGCAGTTGATGCAGCTCTATGTGACAAAAAAAGGTCATTCCAAAGAACATTGCGCCGCGGCGCTGCGGCCACGAGGAAAAGGACCATGCGCCGGCAGACTCGCAGTCCTTCACTTTACATTTTACAATTTACAAGACCTTTCCGACGTCCTGCCCTACCACTATTTATTTATTTATTTATTACACTGGTATTTTCTGATCCGGTCTATTTGCGCCGATTCGGCTCATTGTGTGTGTCCACTCCTGTTTCCAAGGACACTACCCTAACTCTTTCTAACCTACCCTATGACTTTTGTGACCAATGTACAGCAGCAGGGGGCCACTCCACCCACCACCAGGGAGTGGCCAACGAAGAGCCTGGTGGTGTGGTGCTGAAAACGTACCTGCCATTTTAGAATTGTTTCAATCGTTTCACTTGCATTCTTGTTCAACAATACTGTTACTCGGACCCAGCATTTTTTTCAGTCAAGGTCTAACCTGCAGTAATCTTAAAGGGCTAATGCTCACCGCGAAGCAGCCTGAAATCGCGCTCCACGGAGCAACCTACTCAAGTGTGTGTGGGTGTGTCTGTCTCGCATGCAGAAGGTTCATCCAAGGTCGGTTTGGGTCAAGAAGATGCGGCTTGTCGCTGATCTGAAGATGAGGCAAATGTCTCTTGGACATGAAACGACGTAAAGTCTTTGGAGGTCTCACCCATTGTAGGGGGGTCAAATTTTTATCACCGGTTCCTTGGGCGCATGCCGTCGACTCTGGAGGTGTCATCAAGGCTTCCTTGATGGCCTAAGTTCATCAAGTTCGCTTAAGTCCGGGCAGAACTCACTGCATCACATGCATGTTGGCCCAGCGTTGGCCAGTGAAGTGAAACTAAACCAGAGCAAAGGACCATTATAGCGATGGCCTCCAACCTAATAGCGATGGCCTCCAAGCTACTAGCCTTCTTGTTACTAGTAGCTTCTTGCTCCTAGTAGTAAGGCCAGGAGCCCCGTTCGTAGCGTCCTTGTTCCTATCAACCATAGCTGTTGATACTTCGTTCGCACACTCGTTCGCCCTCAGCGTTTACTCGTTCGCCCTCGCGGTGCGTCTGGGCGCATCCGACTCTGGTGACCATTTCCTCTTGCGCAGGACCGTTGGGCGCGGTCAAGGATGCACTGCGGCCATCCTGACTGGAGCTGTTGCCAATTGGTTGAAAAAGAAACAGTGACAAAATAGATCTGTAATGATGAATACATGTCTGAATGGATGACAATCTGTGCGAGCTGATGGTATTGAATCTTCAAGCTAAAGCCAGCTGTACATGTTTTGACAAAAGGCTAGCGTGCAGAATACAACTCCAAAAAGCACCTGCCCACACGCAGTCGAGCGGAGGATGGACATGCTCTGATCTGCCGAGAACACGCCATATTTCATCATGAAGCCACCTTGGCTGAGTGCAGGTGGGTGCGAAATTGGGTGCAGAACTCGACTCTTTTGAGACACATCGACATTACCTTAGCTGGTTTTCCAAGCAGGGGTTCTCAGCAACACGTTTGGAGGCCTGGTCTGTGCACACTTCTTTCCCGAGCCTTCTTAACACCTCGAAGGTGCTCTGACTGACACCCTCACCGCCAAGGCTGTCACTGACACCCTCACCCCGCAAGTAACCTCAGTTCAAGAGCAAGGTGTCGGAGGACAGGGTTTCCGAGCCACAGTCAAGAAATCTCTCCACAACCGCTTTATGTCTCTTCATACCCAGGCCACTAAAGGCATCACGGACTCCCACAGGGAAATCCGGTCCAACCTTCAAAGGAACTGCTACGCACGTTTCCCATTTTCCACCAATCTATCTACCCGAATCAACCATCCTTTCCCCCGGGTTCCGACCGGAGGCTTCGAGCTCCGCAGACCGGAGGCTCCCACCGTCTGCGGAGGAGTTGAAGGTGAAGCACCGTCCTTTCGGACTTGACCTGCGACGACCAACGAGCCAGGAAGAGCCACGAGGCAGCCACTTGGGGGGGGAAGACCAAAAGAAACTGGAAGCAAGACACGAGCACCAACAAGCCCAAAAGAAACGCCTTTAAGGCTCGTGTTGGTGCTCTTTGAGTGGACATTCCCACTGAAAAAGCCACACTGAAAACCTCCTTGCCGCGAAAATCTTTGGAAATTCCAGCAAGATGTGTCAAGAGCGGATCCACAAGCGCGCGGTACGGGAAATCGGCAAGGCAAATCATTCAAGCGTGCTCCCTCGCTTGAAAAGTGATAAACTCATGTGTGAACTGTGAACTGCAGGAAGAAAACCCCCCAGCATCGATTCACTCTTGGCCGCCATGCATGTGAGACTGAGAGCACCCAATGAAAGGTCCAGGAGACAAGCACAAGTGAGCACCTGCAACAGGAATCGAGGCGGACTGAGCCACCAACAACCCTTTGTTGATGTGACGGATGCTTATCTACAGACAGTACCCCAAAAGAACATCAAATGCTCGGAGAGCAACCAAGCAATGCGGTTCATGTCCCTTCTCATTCAAGCCTTTCCACAACAGAATTCTCTACCATTTCAGCTCAATTTGGCTCCCGCGCCCATAGAGATGAAAAACTCCAGTGGGTCAAATTGCTGATTACCTCGCTCAAATCAAGCTTACCCTTGCGAATCAAAAGGAACTGATCTGAGGAAAGAAGGAAGAACGCGCTATTTGCTTCGCTGCTTCACCTAAGACCAAGACCTTATTATGACGGCATACATTCGGCATAAAAACATTGATATTTACGACCAGGACCCAAGACTGTCAAGCCCAGAATTCACCCTTTTTCGCTCACATTCATGTATCTAAGCCGCCAACAAATCATAAATCGTGCACAGTGCCTTAATGAATCCGGAGCACAGTCAGCACCATGCAAAGAGATGCCCCAAGAAACCACCGAGGCACCCATAGGAGACTCCTGTCGCTTACTGAGGCAGTGACGTGGACGTCAAAGAGGCCGAGCACGCCGTGTCGCAAACAAAGTTTGGCCCTGTCAGGGGGAGCAGCATATGGTTGTCAGGTTCCACTTTTGCACTGTCATTCAGTGTCCTTGACAAAGGGGTACCTATGCACCTAAGAACTGTTGCTAACGCCTGCTCTGTGCCCTAAGTAGCTGCAAGAAGAAAACTATACAGCTGGCTTCGAAAGGAGAAGTCATCAAGCCATACCAAGCCTTTCAGGTTGAACACGAAGCTAAAGCGATTCGCAATGATGGCAAGCACCTTAGCAGGTAGAATGTGCCTAAAGCAAACTTCAACCAGCGCTGCCGGCTCCCTGCAATGAGACAAAAAAGGACATGTCGGTTCGGTCTGGCAAGAGTCCATGTTTCGTCTTCCACTCTTTGTGGCAGAAAACACGTCCAAAACTGGCAAAACCTGCCCCAAGGATGTGGCAGTGCTGGTTCCCGAAGGCGTCACCTCCTTCTCACAGGTCATCCAATCCTCATTCCATGGTCCGACGAGAGCCGAGTACAAATGTGCGGGTAAACCGGTTTCGGGCACCCTGACCGGGATTCGAACGGGCCACAGGTCTTTAAAAAGGATCAAAACCAAATCATGTGAGACTAAATAGGAGCTGCAGATTCCAGTGATTTCACCACACTTCAAATGTCTTTTTCTGCCGACTGCCCTGCAGGGTCACCCAACCAGCTTGTCGTTGCCCACGCAAAAGCCCGCATGGGTGGACTTCCGGTTGCACTCCTTTCCGCGACAGGCTCGGCTCACTGGGAAAATTGGAGTCAGGCCGATCTTTAAAAGTCAGTCATAGCGAAGCTTGTCAAGACTAAAAGCAAATGCACAAACACCAAGAAGTGGATATCACAGTCACAACTATCCATGTTCTGAGCTCCTTCTTCGTCAACCCAATCATGGCCATGCTCTGAGCACCACCTCAATAACCAGTCAGCAACCATAGCAGCTGGAAGCTTCAAAGACAATCAAAACAGCTTCTGCATCATGCTCTCTCAAAGGGCAGTGACCCATTCCCATGGGTCTTCGTTGTTGCCATTTCTTGGGTGTCATTGGAGTTCCAATTGAATTTTTTTCAGCCATGCGGCCATGCCCATTTTCTCAAAAACCCGTATCTTGCAAGCAACCCAAGTTGACACATCCCCAAGTTTGTCCACATCTCCGCTGCGGCTCCCCACATTCGAGCACCAAGCGCTGCACAGGGTCCATGCCATTGGCCTGGTCAAAACACGGTGTCAGGGCCACGGTGAGAAAACGCGTGTAGAGCTAGACAACTGGCGAAGCCAGTGCGCCAGAAACGACTTATCCTAGACTACTACAAACAATACGAGTACTATATAAATGTACATAATACTTACCATACTAGATAAACTAGAAAAGTATCAATGGCAAAGGCTGGCCTCGTTGTTAGAGATCTCGAAGTATCTGTTGTCAAAGAACTCTGCTCCTTCACACAGCGACTGGTGGCGCGTCCTCAAGGGCAGGAAGGAGCAGGCATCCAATTCAAGTTCAAGCAAGGTGAACTTTGCAGAATAGGTAGCGGCATAGGTGTTCATACGATTGCTATAGGTACAAGCAAGACAAGCAAGAAAAAAAAATGTATAGCTACATATATATATATATATATATATCTGTCTGAGGTCTGCGCGTCGTTTGCCAACCCTCAAAGGCATTCTCATCTGGAGTCCAGTAGAAACCGACATCCCAACCTTGGGTCAGCCGGAATCACTGGAGCTTCTTGTTACTACTTACTAGTAACAAGTGCCACGCTAGTAGTAACAAGTGCCTTACTAGTAGTAACAAGAAGCTATTGCTGGAACTCCTTCCTTTCCTTTCAGAGCACAGAGCACCCTCTCCCGACCACCGGTGGCTCCAAGGGACGGGTGATGGGGACCTGCACGATGGTGTCGGTGCCGGATCTCAGCGCCGACCAGTTGTGCCACTGGCCTGGCCCGACCAGTTGTGGGTGTTGAGTCGAGTCGGGGGTGGTGGAGGAGGCGCCACAAAATGTTCTTCCATCAAACTGGACTAAAGCAAAATCCATCAAACGAACCTAAAGCAAAGCTACCAAAAGCTTGCTCATGCTAGCTCCCTGCACTGTCACTCAGCTTTCGACTGTCGCAACATCCAGGAAGGCGAGCAACTGTATTGATAACCTCAGAAGTATTGCTTCAAGTCTTGGCCTCTGTTCTTGGTCTTGGTTCTGCATAGTTCTGCTGGCTGAAAAAGCCGACGTGATGACTTGAGCAGGCACGACACGCAAAACGTGTTCGTCTACGAAGGGGTGGAGGATGTACCAGCTGTTGGGGCAAAAGTCTTCGTCTGTCCTTACCACGTTCAATGGAGCCAAATTGGCCTACTGGACAGAATGCATGAAGGAGTCCATGCTGAACTGGTGTTGGCGCTACTTTTACCAACCACAAAGCAAGAAGAAACTCTGTTGATCTCTATTGCAACATTGCAAAACCATATGTCGTGACCTTGAAACGCCCATTGGAAACGCTGTTCTTTCCAGTTGAGGAAGGACCAAAAGCGGTGCCTTTTCTTCGGCGGAAGGCCCTGGGTGTCCCGGCATGGATTTGATCGTTCCCAACAGGTGGAGGAGGTCCATCTTCTTTCAGGAGCCAATCAGTGTCTCCCTGGATGTTTCCAGAGACCTGGCCAGGTCAAGTGCGAAGTCGATGTCGAAAAGGAGCTGACATTCCTACTCATAAAGGCCATAAACGCCTAGATGTTGAACAGTAACAATGGTCATCGCTTTTTGTATCAATTTCTGGATCATATGTAGTCTGGTTCTGAGGCTGCTATCCAGCAATGAGCATGTTTTTTCCTACTCAGTTTGTTCAGTGCAAGGCGGAAGAAAAACAATAGATAAAAGAATACGAAAGCAAATCAAGCCAGTCCACCATCTCAGGAACCGCAGCCAAGTAGTTGGTGATCAGCATCAGCGTATCCTTCGGTGCAGCACCTCAAACGTCCAAAACCGCCAGGTCGGCGCGTAGCTCGGCGATAGGTGCTGCGTCTGCAGTGACCGGAGAGCATTGAGCTGTAGTAGCTCGTGGACAGCTAGATGTGGTTCTTTGGCTGCTGTTCTCAACCATCTTTACACGGCTTGCTTCTGCAATGCTGCAGAACTGCAGAAAACATCCATGGCTGAAGTGCAGATCTTCACTCAGAAAACTGGGATACACCGATCCCTTAACTTAAGGTGCTCACAGGTGTAGTCATAGATATCTGGCCGGAACAACCTCAGAACAGCATTTCTATCGTTGCCTTTCTGCTATGCGCACGCATAGGTTTGTGGAATCCAAGTTTATCCATGTTTATTGGGTTCAGCCACCGTAGAATCTATAAGTTGAAAATAGCTCCAGATCTGTTTGATCAAAAAAATGCATTACTATGCATTACTGAGCTGTATGACTATGTTGAAAACCCCACATCGAACTCACCAGCCACCAAAGAAGCTGGAGCCAAGGAACAGAATGGTGTTTGGCACAGCTCGGATCTTCACGTTCTCCAAGAGATTTGGCACCTGACGCCCCCACGTCCCACTACCACCCACTTCACCGAGGACAACGGCTCAGACTCCCCAATTCAACAGATGTGCAGTTCAAAGTGATCCCACCTTGGACGCCTTCACGGTCTCCCGAGCATCAAGCTCCAGGTCTGCAGGGTAGGGCCTCGAGGCGCGCGCCCGGTTTGGGCGGCGAAACAGCACCCACAAAGGCAGGAGAAAAGCATCGAAGATGACATGCACATCACTGCATGCTTCGCCAGAAACGGTGGTTTTTGAGCGCAATCTTTGGAACTGCACAGAGTCGTTGGATTGACTTACAGGGATTGTGGATATCTTCTTGATTGGAGCCTGGCCCCGCGAAAGAATTGCGTTTGATCTGAGGTCTCTGCCCCATGAAGTGCACAGCCCGAGCTAAAGTGCGCCTGGCAAGCCCAGCTCTTCAGGTCGATGTCCCCAAAAAGTATTTTTTCGGCCCTTCTTCGGGTCGCAAGATGTTGAACTTAGGACTCCTTAGGACCCCAAGGAAGCCACTCAGCACCTCTGCGTACCAGGAGACAGATCGACGACGCCGACGCCGAAGCCCGGCACGAAGCCAGGCAGGCAGACACGGACCGCTGCAGCTTCAGGGAGGACCACTCCCGCCTCCAGGTTTGAAGGAAGGCTCCAAGAGACTCATCGTTCGCCTGGCTTTTGCAGAGAAACACTTTGCCTGTCCCCTTCAATGAAAGCAACATAGACATAGATCTTAAGGTCTGAGTCTTCCAAAGATGAGAGAACACTTGGATCCACCTTAGTGTCAAAGCCTTGAGCTCGAGGAAACTGGGTGTGTGCAACGTCAAAAGCTGATCAAAGTGTCGAAATGGTCCACCTGCTACTCTCTTCCACTCATTGTTTCAAGCAAGCTGTCCCGGCCTCTGGGTAGGGATACTCCGAGTCTCCACTGCTATCGCTGGTCAGGCACACCTAGGTCAACCAAGGGAAGCTCAAACGCAAGCCTTTCAATTCATGTCACAGCAACTTCTGCCGCAGCGTGGTGTCTTGCCAGACCTCTTTGCCTTGGCAGAAGGACCGAACCAAACACCGAACTGATTACTGGGCCATGGGCCAATCCAGGGGTGCGTGATTCCAGCTGTCCGTCCAGAACATCTCCAGCGTAGGGCTGCATGGACTGGCGCGATAGGGTTTTTTGGAGGGCTTGCTTCAAGCAAGGCTTGCTCTCAACTTCAAACGGGGCTTTAAGCATAACCTGAACACCTAGATCCATCCTCTTGTGGAATAAGGAGACTTCACGGCTTCATGACGATTGGCTGCCGCACCTGCGCCAGGAGGGAAAGGTTCGCATTGTTGCTCTGCAGTGCTGCGTCCTTTGAGCAAAAACGAGCTTTCTGGCACGGCCAACCAGAAAGCCCAAAGGGTTCGATGGATTTTCTCCCCGTTTCCGATTGGTTTCTTTGTCGGGGCGACTCCCCCTGCGAAGATTAGAGGCCTTCCGTCTTCGGATGAGAGGCCGTTCAGAGATGGAAAGTCCTTTCACTTGAACCGAACTGCTTCCGTTCATGCAAACACCAGGCGCGTGACCGAATCTTGAGAGCTTGGGCCTTTCACCGGAAGAGGGCGGTACAGAACGGAGCCCATGGTCCGACAACGTCGACCGTCCGGGTCCATACTGTACGGTTACCGTACGGTGGGTGGCCCAACCCCCACCACTTCGCTCAAACGCAGCGCGTGGTCAACCGCTGTGCGCGCGGTCTCCTGGTCTAACTCTCCGGAGTCCATCCATGCCACCCTTCCCCGGCAGCCAAAGCCTTGGTCGCTGGAAACGAGACGGTCGTGTGTAGAAACCAGCTGGTGCGAGAGAAGCCAAAGGTGCTGCCAAAAAGCTCCCAACAGGCGGAATGATATCATGATACTCAGGAATGACAAAACCATCTCACAACATTATGCTTCGATAAGCCCCCCTAGCATGAGAGACATGCGGGTTTTTTTGAAGTCTCACGATCGACAGGTGTCAAGCTCCTGGCCCAAATAGCCCTGTTCGACTTCTTCGGAAAAGCGCTGCCTCGAAGACCAGGAGCTGAATTTACGGAAGTGGAAAGAAAGTAAAACACATAAAGAGAAAAGATTGTGGAACGAAGAGTAAACTGGCACCGGCTGGACTACACTGAAACAACCCTGGGATTAAGTGAAACCACCATGAAAAGAATGAGCCTAACAGTGAATCCTGCCGTGCTATGATGTGGTTTAAGTTGTAGTTCTGCAGGATGAGCTAGGATAGTTCGCATAAAGCATAGCTGGGCTTCCAGCAATCTCTGCATGTCGCTCAAATCCTGATGTTTCACAAAAACAAACCCATGTCCTGTTGCCTCACGTTGCCTGAGACATCTCACCAAAAACGGCACAAGTGCTCTCGACTCCCATCCAACACAAAAAGCAAGTCACAAACTTGCAAGTTGTTTTGTACTGACATGCTTCCCTGACAAGTCTGCGCAAAAGAAAGACCCCAAGGGAAAACTCAATGTCCTTTTTCCTCATGAAAGAAAAAAAGTGTTCTCGAAGAAACTGCAAAGTGCAGTTTGCATCGCATTCTATCTCAGAATCTCTACTTCTACATTTTGTCCAGGGTTGGGCCTGAGCGGAATCGGGTAGTTCCCTGGTTTTCAAGAAGCACCCAGGTCAAGTGGCGTACTATCCCGACAAAATCATCGACCCAAGCCCAGGGCCTTCATGCGCTGCCAGGCTCCCTGAGCCAAGCGCGCACCTTGAGATTCGGGTGTCGAGGTGTAGGATTCTCAACAAACTCACCCGAACCATCTAGACTAGTGACTAGTTGAACTGCCTGAGCAGTTCCAGTCTAGAAGCCTTCGACATGAGGAAACACAGCCATGAGGAAACACATACATACAAGGGACTTCTTTCAATTGTTTCTGGAAGTACCGGTGGGTTGCTGCCTGCATGACTTTTTTGTGCGGCACTGTATGGCAAACAAGTCGTTGCAGCAAGCAAACGAGTTGTTAAGATCTCGACTCTGACAAATCCTCACGACACAAAAGCCCTTCCTGGCAAGAAAAGTCCGAGCTGCAGCGAAAATGCATGTTGAACAGCGGACGAAAAGGTTTCACACCCGGCAAACATGCATCCAACAATCCAACCACACCCCTACTGCCTTTAAGCACTTCTTTAAGCATGCACGGAAGGACTCCATCAGGCAAGTCGAAATCTCACCGCCCAAAATCTTGCCATCAGTTCGAGGTCCAACTAAGACCTGAATCATCGGACGTTCGGCGAAATTCAGAGAATCACAGCAGGACCTGATAATAGCTTCTGGTCAGCCAGGCATCAAGAAGGCTGCTGTTTGGTGTCTCGAAAATTACGTTGTTTGCTGCCTTCACCTTTAAGCCCTAAGCGTGTACAATTTTTTTCCAATCCCTTCAATTTGGATCCGCATCGTGTTTATATAGCTATATCCTTGGTAGGAAAAGGATTGTGAAACCTTCCTGAACATCCTGAAGCAGAACCTGTATTTCTGACATTGGAGTGATGGATGAACTGTAGAATTGCAATCGCTGCTTTAGTCGGCTCGGCTTTTCAACCCCACACCCGCCAAAACCTTTGAAAATGCCCATTGTCAGGTTTACCCTGGGTGAAAGTTGGTGGAGGGTGAGAGCCACAGACACGCGACAGGTGTCTGTGGAGGCAAAAGGCAATAGAGATGAAACAAAAAGATTGACATGACACCCCTCAATCCACACCAGACATAAAAGTGAACCACGACTCAAACCCGCGCTTCCAAGCATCTTGTTCAGAGCAGCTGGTGTGGGAAGCACGTACGGGATTTCAAGTTCTTCAGATTTGCTTCGATAGGGTTCATCATGACCATGCGTGTGCGTGTGTGTGTGTGTGTGCCCCTTGAAGTCACAGGGATTCACTCGGATTGTGCTGATTGTGCTTTTAGTCTTTAGCAGGGGGGGCAATCCCACATGGCAGCTGATTGCCCAACGAAGAGGGCTGCAAGTGTGGCTGATATCCGGAAGGGACGCCTTCTGGATGTACCTGCTTGGCTGTGGCGTTTACAAGTTTTTACTCCACTTTTCCGGTAAAGTGCTAGTGAGTTCTGCAGATGTGCACGCCACGCCGTCATCTGTCGGTTGGATTTCGACTTGAGCCTTTTCCTTTTGAAGACCCCCCAGGTAGGGCTTTTCTTGAACTTCTCAGGATTTGGGAACCCAGGTTGGCGTGTGGCAACCGCTTTCAAGTCAGTACGCAATTCTATAAGTGTGTCTGGTTTCATGCCAGCCCAGGGTGACCCCGAAGAGTGGCCCCTGTGGACCCGTTGAACGGGCGTTTGTCTTTATCTCCCCTGCCTGGAGATGTACGTGCCCAAAGCGGGCGGGGCAGGCTTATGCCAAAGTTGTTTGCCAAGACTTGCTGAAGTATTGAATTCCAAGCTGGCTCATGCCTTTACGTGACCGCAGCGGTCTAAGCAGCCAGTCACTTTGGCAGGGCACAAGGTGACCACAGCGGTCAAAGTATTTTTGGAGTTCGTTGGAACCTGCCGAAAACTCAGGTGCACACACAGCGTATACACGAGGCGAGGTTCCCCTAGGTGTTTTAATGAGGTTTGGTTTCGTTGGTTTCAGTCCCCTTCATTTGGTTTCCCCTCTCTTCCTTTTTCCACTTCACACCTATCTCTTTTCTTTCATGTCCTCCGATCTTCACGTCTTTCATCTCATCCTTTCTTTCGTTTGCGCGCACATTGGTCCCGGCCTTAGGGTGCAAGTGCACAACTAACTGTACTTTAAGCCCATGTTTTAGGTGGCCCAGGTCTTTATAATGAGGTGGGTTTCATTGTTTGTCCCTGTGCACTTGGTTCCCCTTTCATCACAACCACATACACATTTGTCCCGCCCCGTCCTCTTGTCATGTCTTCATTCTTTTCTGTCGCGCGCGCACACATGCACTTGCGTCCTGACCTTAGTATTTTCGGCATCCGCCCCCGGGGGGGCGTGTGTGTGTGTGTGCCCCTTGAAGTCACAGGGATTCACTCGGATTGTGCTGATTGTGCTTTTAGTCTTTAGCAGGGGGGCAATCCCACATGGCAGCTGATTGCCCAACGAAGAGGGCTGCAAGTGTGGCTGATATCCGGAAGGGACGCCTTCTGGATGTACCTGCTTGGTTGTGGCGTTTACAAGCTTTTACTCCACTTTTCCGGTAAAGTGCTAGTGAGTTCTGCAGATGTGCACGCCACGCCGTCATCTGTCGGTTGGATTTCGACTTGAGCCTTTGGCCCCTTTTCCTTGAATTGTTCAGGATTTGGGAACCCAGGTTGGCGTGTGGCAACCGCTTTCAAGTCAGTACGCAATTCTATAAGTGTGTGCAGATGATCCCTTTGTGTTTGGATACAGCTGCAAAACAGTCAACTGGAAATGCTGGCTGTTTTGAAGGACTTGGATGGAGAAACGAAGTGGGGGATGATTATGAAATAGGCGGTGCGGACATCTTGTGCCTCCTGATATTGCCTCAAATGCAGTCATTCAATGAGTCAGATTAGTTTCGAAGCCACACTCAGATCCCGCGAGCTTGGTATCGCATGATGTTCTATAAGTTGTTTTTCTCTGATATTTTGTATTGATCTGGGTTTCAGCGGGGTTTCGGCATGGCTTCGAAACCCAAACTCGTCCATCACCAAGCTCGAACAAATGCAACGTGAGCGCTCGAACCGTGCTCGTTCCAAGCGACGTCGAAGCTGTCCCCAGTGCCGCCCTCGCCGGGCCGGCGCGGTGCCTCAGGAGTCAAGGACTGGCGAGTTTGTTGCGGGTTCCGCGAGAAGAAACTCGACTCACTGTTCAGAGTCCAATGAGTTCAACTGCACCGCCGGGTATCAACCTACAAATGATGAAGAATTCATCGCTATTAGGTTGAAGGCCATCGCTATTAGTAACAAGAAGCTACTAGTAGCTCCTGGCCTTACTACTAGGAACAAGAAGCTCCTGGGAGCAAGGGCATCGCTACTAGTAACAAAGGGCATTACTATTAGTAGCATTCTTGCCTGTGAACACTGCACGCTCCGCCTCGACCGCGCGAACATTCTTCGCACTGAAATGGCCAGCCTTGGAGACGGCTTCGGCTTCAGTTGCAATGGACTGGGCATTTAGAATCAGGCTAAATCGCCCACCGACTGAGCCCTTTGATTCAAGATCTTGTGTGTACTCAAATTCAAAAAGACCTAGACGCCTAAATACATATGTCATCTATGTTGAGCCAAGTAACGGCCCCACAGCTCAAATAGACGTGGAACTTCCCAGAAGCAGAATCAAAGCCAACTGCCTGGCACCCACTATGCTTCAATTGTCGGAGGCAAGGCTTCTACAAAAAAATGAATGTGCCCATCCAGAAGATGCTCAACAAGTCACTTCACAACTACCGTGCAGTCACTGCCTGTCCAATTGAACCGTTGACATCCACGTTGAATGCCTGCAGCGTGCATGCCCTTCTACAGGTGACGCTGGCAAGGAAAATGCAACACAAGAGCACGCATCTGAACCCCCAACCTGCAGCTCCACATCTGATAAACCGTGGAGTTCGACTAATCCTCCGAGTCTAATCCTTGGTGAGCTCACACGAGGCCCATGCAAGTTGAAGAAAATATGAAGCTAATGCATGTGGCTTAATAAGCAATGTGGAGTTCCACAAGGATAGTCGAAGTCAAGCAGCCCCTCGACCACGGGCTCCAGCAACGCCTGCAAGTCTCAAACCAAAAGCATGGAGACGAGCACGGAACCGCACAAGGCAAAAAAACAGCACGGCCAACGGACAGAGTCTTGATAGAAGCTTCCATTCGGACCACCAAATGACTGTACAAAGTATCACCTCTGACCGTGTCTCTCCTGCCTTTGCTGCAGCAGATGGTGTGGGAGCAGCTGGAAGCAGCTGAGTCTGCATCGATCTTCCGACCCTGCGCGGACAACGAAAACAGACGGTGCACCTGCTGCTACGACCTGCATGAACTTCAGGGTTCAGGTCCTTCCCAGCTGGCTTGTGACCTTAAAAAAAAGAATATTCATATTCAAGTGGTGCCAACAGTGACAGGAATAAACCCGCGTTGTTTCAGTCACATCGCTTCATTTGGTGGATCGAACTGCCCAAAAATTCGGCAGAACGGCCAACCAAGATCGAACGCTTCCAGAACGCGGTTCAAAGGATCGAGCCGAGCTTTAAAAAGAATTGTGTTGACATTGTCAATAAGAAGAGATGCATGCAATGCATGAAAATAATACTCAATGTTCATAACACGGTTGACACACTTCGGTTGCTGGTTGTGGAGCTCAAGCTTCGCATCAAACAAAGTTCAAAAGCATAAGCTTGGCATGGCCTTCTCCAAACTGGTAGCGGAAGAAGGTCTACTTTGTACTGTTAGCTCAAGCCAGGAAATCAATGATGTATTATATAGCTTGGCCAAGTTCAAGGTCACACTAGTGGTGGCCCAGCTTGAAATAGTGCTTTGAAACATGTGCAGAGAATGCCAACAACGTACACTTTCCATTCATTTGGACTCCTTCGTTCATGCGTCCTTGACTTGAAACCAAAGGCGCGGCATGCATTGCAAGCATGGTGCGTATGCCAACTTGCTACAAGACTGTCAACGCCAACGCTGCCACTTCCCTTGGCATCAAACTGGTGAACAAAGGCTCAGATCAACAGAATTGAGAAAAAAGAAAAGCGGTCAAATCCAATGGCGGTTTAAAATATTGCACCATCTGAGACCATCTGTTTTTTGGATATGCGCATCCAGCAGTTTGGAAAGCATTGCCTTGCAACTTTGATCAATAGTGCATTGTCGTAGGTGGAGAGGTGCTTACCTGACGAGTCTGAATGGCACAAGTTGTATGTTTCGGAACCTGTTGCAAAGGGGGCGCGCTGATTTAAAGTTTACGTGGATTTTAGAAGAAGCTCTCCAAACACCGGAAAGCATATGTGGGGTCACTTTCAATCACGCCGGCATCTCATACGTTTCCTTCCTTCCTTCCTTCCTTCCTTTCTTTTCCTTTCTTACTTATTTTTCCTTTGCTACGTCTTGCTTGACTTGGAATAAGGCGAACGGTCATCATTCAATAACTGAAAAAAGATCACGGTATTTGCAGATGGTTCAAAACTGAGAAATTTTTGTGTTTGTTTGAAAACAGACATGGTACCGCGATATCTTTTCCAGGCAGAATCTTTCTGAACTCTGACCTTCAGACTCAAGAGAGAGTGCTGTACACGGACAACACAATCTGAAGTTGTATATTGAAGCGAAACATTCATGACACTTGGTCACGATTTCCAATGCGACCAACTAACAATGTAAACTTGGCCTCAAGATGGCCAGCTACCTCAGGGTTTTCATTTACCCTGATTGAAAGTCAAGGCCTAGCGGTGGCACCACTTTTAAAATATATCTAAAATTGATGTGCACTCACAACGGTTTGGCCATGGTTCTGTGAGTCACCTAAGAACAAGGTGAAGTCCAGCAATTTCTCTTCTACATCCCTAGATTCTAGATGGGATTGCAAAAACCTCCTTGGGTTGGATGCTGATATGCAACAAGTTCGACCTTTCGGGTGCTGTGCGCACCTTGTGGCAACGTGGTCAAAAGACTTGCCAAAGCAGCCGACGCCGAGTTCATGCAAAGGACCCCTTGCGTGCAGCGTTGGCTGCCTTGGTGGCAATGAAGTGAAGTCCAGAACGGACTGGAGGCAAAGGTGGCCAGTTCTTGTTCCTCTCGCACCTGCGTTTCTCTCGCAGCGCGTGTTAGGTTAGGCTGGTTTGTGTTGGCTGTCCCCAATGCAATCCATCACCAAATCAATCAATTCAAATTCTTGCTCAGATGGATCGGCTTGCCTTGACCAGCTCACAACTTGTTTCTTTCCAGGAATTTTGATCAGCTTTGTCCCATCGTGAACTTGTTGCCAAAAAGGACGACAGCAAATTCGTGAGAATTGTCAGGGTGAGTGGACACATTGATGTCGGGGTTTGCAAACATTGTACAATTAAGTTTTGCTCTGGTTGAAGCATTTCGATTTTGTGCTGCGGCTGAGCATTGAAGTTTTTCTGACTCAGCCGGTGTACGACTTCTCAAGATGTTGAAGCCATTGCCTGCTTTTGCTGGGCATGGAACTTAACAAGCTGCCTCAACTGACCATTTCCTGGAGGAGACTTTGTTTCATGTCTGACCTGAGGGCTCTGTCCCTCACATCAGGACAACGCAGTGCTGGCTGCGGAGGCCGTCTTTTGCATGTCTCGTCTCTTCTGAACTCATGAGCAACTCAAAAGGACAGGACGGAGGATCATGTGTAATGTTGGCTTGGTCCTGATTCCCTTGCGTGATGTGGTGCACAGCAGCATTCAAGAACGGTGGATCGTTTTTCCCATTCAGTTCACGATCGGGGTTTTCCCATGTTTTCTGTGTTTCAGCTTGGAGTTGCAGGTCTCGCAATGTTTGATGCAGTGGCGTGTCAAGATTGAACTTTAAAACAATTTTTGGTGTTGGCAAAAACTGCGGATTCCTGTTCAGGAAGACCTGTGCCTGACCAAGTCAGCAAGTGAGCACTTGCTTCAGGCCACCTTCCCCCCCATTCAGTGTTTTTCCGTTCGGCGCAACCGCTCTTTCGTCAATTTGAAAGCTTTCTCAACTTCAGTAAGTCTCAAAAAAAAGAGCATTTAAAGACCACCTTCCCAAAGTTTCTCTCTGTGCAAAAGGCTTTGCTTCAATCCAGTTTGTCAATAAGAGCTTTGGTTCAACATGCAAAGAGCTTTGGCGACGAGTCTGTGTGCGTGGCGTTGCGAAAAACAACGATTTTGGGCAACCAATGAAGTCCCCTTTTTCCTGTCATACCGTTGACCGTTCTGGATGCGGGTGCACTTCTCCCTGTTTTTGAATTCAGCAATGTTTTTTCAAGCGCGATGAAACACTTCTGACTCAGAATTTTTCTGACCGGTTGCAGTGCCTCTCAGTCGCTTGCCGACAATGGTGGGGACAACCCCAAGACGCGATTGGTGAACGGCAACATGGATTGCTGCCTTGCGCGCGACAGCAGCCGTCAAGTCAATCGGATTCAATCGCAGTGCCACAAGTCTTGTCTGAGAACTGTCCGTGATGATCATGTCCCTTCCAAAACCTGCTCCTGTTCATTTCGAAGTGCATGAGGTCATGGGCATCTCTTTGTTTGGAAGCTGCGGGAGGCCATCTTTTGCACTGCACTTGTTGCGTGACCAATCGAGCATTTGCGCGAAGGTGGATGATCTGAGGTCCAGCTGTGGAGAGTTGGCTGGTCGTGCTAAACTTTTCTGGTTCTTGTTTTCCACTCGTCAAACAGCAAGTTCCATCGCGAAAAACAGGCTGGAAAGCAGCGATCACCTGTTTCCAGCTGAAGACACTCAAAAGTTCACTCTGCCTAAAAAGCGCTTCTGAAGGACGCCGCGTTCATCAAAAACTTACCATCAAGAACGAAAATTTGCTCAAAGAAACAGGCAGCTGGTTCCCTGCACAAACAGGCTCCAGAGCATCTTTCACAGTTTCAAAGAAGACCGGTTCGAAGCTCGCGGAGAGCAACATGTGGATGAACCGCCCGGTGTTGCCACAGAGGACTTGGTTCAACAACCAGCATTCCAAACTCCAAGTTCCAGCTGCAAGCCATGGAGCTCCGAAGGGCAGGCATGGACCATCTGGCCCAGCAGGCCAGCTGGTGTGGAGATCAAAGATTCAATTATTTCCTGTCGACTGAAACACGAAACAGATCAAAAAAAGACACACCAAGCCGGCAAACCAAAAACCAAGTCCAAATCTTGAAGATCTCTTGGAACTGCTTGGCAATGATGACGGAAAGCGCTGTAGCGCTTGGAAGTATTACCGAAAGGGAAGGGGGGGGGGG